TCAAATCCACAACCAGTCCATAGTGAGGCACCTTCTTTCCCTCGCCTTGAGAATCCCGAAATCCGAAGGCCTGAGGAGAACCACTGCAGCAGCAGGCCCAGCTGAACCCCTGCAAGGCGGCCGCTCTCCGCCGGGAAGCAGAGCGCCAGCAGCATGCTGCCGTAGGCGTGCGCCGTGCTGGCGTAGAACTGCGTCATATCGAAGCAGAAGAGGTAGACGTCGCAAAGCATCAGCAGCCGCAGAGCGAGCATGTTGTACCAGGGGCCTCAACAGGGATCCTTACATTCTACACCTGAACATTGCCTTGTAAATGGTGGTGTCCCTTTACTTTGGCGGAAAAAGCCATGCTTCAAATGGGCAAAATGTATCTTTTGAGGAGCCCTGCTCAGGAAGTTTGAAAATCCACAAGCCACGCAAGCCACACATTCCACACAAGCCTCAAGTTTGCACCAATCTTTGACTTGCCAAAAGCCACACAAGCTTTATCCGCTTGGTAGAATCACCTCTGCAAGGGAAATGTGACTGGAAACCTGAGGGGAATCCTGTTTTTTTAAAGGATTCCCCACAAGCCGAAACAGCCCATATCGCATGATTCACACGGGGATGATCCATATTAGCCGAGACATGTGATTTTCAACGCGGCAAACACATGCTGCCGTTTGGAAACCCTGCCCCACGCCAGAAACCGCCGAATATCCCATCGACGGGGCGCAGATGATGAAGCCAAGGCAGCACAGGAAGAAGAGGCTGTGGACCATTTGGTCCACTCTGTTCCGCTGGCTGCCGCTGATGGATGGAAAAAGCGTGTACTTCAGCGTGCCCCTGAGGAACATTCAGGGAAGAAACCGCACAACTGGCATGTAAGCCTGGCCCTTTGGCTCCAGGGCAGAGCATCTCTGTGCCAATCAGCTTGTCATGCGTCAGTGATCATCCCGAAACCCAGCTGAAGACAGAATCAGCCTTATGTGCTAGGATCAAGCCTACAGTTTCCACGATGAGTCAGTTGCTTCAAGTGAATTTCAAGTGGATACACTCAATTTAGCTGACATCAACGAAAAGTCCAGCCGCCCGCAAAATGCACGGGACAATGGGGCACCTCTTTTCGGGGGGTTGACTTGAAACAGACTCCCCCCTCCCAGCCGCGCGGCCACGCGCCTGGAGAGGCGGTATCGGAAGTTGTCCGGCAGGAGCGAGCCCATCAAGGGCCCTTGCCTGCGGCGCATCCCTCTTCGACTGCCAAGCCCCGACGGCCAAGTTCCACGTCAAAGGAAGGTGGCCGGAGGAAAAAAACCAAGCAAACCGGTCGGAGAAGGGCAAAAGGTCGCCGTAGGCTTTGCTAAAGAGCCCTTGCCACCTTCGGTCTTAGGTGCCACGTTAGGTGGGACCGATTCTTTGGGGCCGGATGGACCAGCGTTACGTTTTTGGGAAAGGATGAGGGCTGTTTGCCCCAAATCAAGCTCTTATGCTGGACCAATCTTACTCCCGGATGGTCAACTGTGCCGTACGGACCTCGACGTCGACAAGGCCATGATGGCTACTCGGGCCTTTTGGATTGAGGAGCCTGTCGCTTGGGATCGTCAGAGGAAGCCCCATGCTCTGCCTGCAGCCCAAAGCTTCCGCCAGGTGCTGCCACACCAGGAACTTGGCAAAGAGCAGCATGCCCAAATCCTCACGCCGAACGAAAAACAAAATCCGTCGGAACGTGGTTCGGCACAGGCTGAGCTTGGGGAGAGGCATGGCGGGCCGGGCTTTGCCGCGCCGCTCCTACATTTGAGTGGCCGCCAGATCAAATCGGAGTCAACCCAAACAAACACTCTCCCACAGGGAAATCCTGGAGCCAATGGTCGCCAAGCAAAAACTCGCAGCACGGTGAGCCACCGAAGGTCTAGGGGTAACTTCCCCATTCTTTCCAGGGATCCTTCTTTCTAGAAAACCACCAAACACCTGCAGAAATGGCTGGTTTTTGAAAAGAACGATGGCCCCTAGAGAAGGGGCTCAAAATGCAGTGCGCGCTGAGTGCTGGACACCTAAGCTAAGAGGGATGTTACGTCACATGTCCCCCAAGCAATGTTGAGACGAGTTTGAAAGCCCGATGCTCAGAAGGGATGCAAACCGTACAAAAGCTCTAGTCCCTTCGTGGAACAACTTCCGCTGCAATAACCGTTGCAAAAACACCGCCGTTGCAAAAAACACTGATTTCAGCCTGGAATGACACTGTCTGGAAAAACACTGTTTACTGTCGCTATTAACACTAGTCCCGTAATCTTACTGCTCCTGCTCGGGCTCCAAAAACTGAACTTCTATCTCCGAGGTCCTCCGTTTCTGGCGGCAGCACTTTCAGAAGCAGGGCCATGAGGCCAGCATAGGACAAGTAATTCACCTCCAGCTCCGTGGTTCTCAAGGTGAACATAGGTGGACTTGGGTGTGGGTAAGTAAACCTGGTGACTAAACCAAAACTGGTTGGTGGTTGTGTGGGCTCCCTTAAAACCAACCCCAAAAATGGTACCCACTAAAAAGGACAGACCCAAATGTGGGAGTTGTACCATCTACTTTCCCATAGGTCGAACCTAAAACCGACTCTCCGTAGGGTAACATGTTTGACGCCACGCGTTGTTTGATCTCCTTGGGTCTACCAGTGTTGCTTGCCAAGTCACCAGCATCATGCCAAAGTGGAATTGCATTACAATGCTCGGCCGGGTCATGCCGTTTGCCACGATCCATTTGGCGAAGTGATCCAGGCGCTGCCCGAATGACATGGCCGCAAACTTCTCCTACAAAAAGCCGTGGCTTGTAGTCAATCACCTGGGAGTGACTCTAAATTATTGTTTTGATTCTCGGCATTTGTGCCTTGCGCCGTCTTACGTGGCATACGGTTATTCAATAGTTGCTGTTACAATTCAGAAGGTAAAAGGAAAAGGAAAGGAAAGGAAAGGCCCCAAAGAAGGAAACATAGACATGCAAACAAAAAGGAAGGGCAACAGGTTTGTTGTTTGCAGGCACGCTGGCTCTGCTGCGCTCGTCCTTGCACCATCTTGTGTCGTGCTGTGATTTTGTGCGTGTTTTCGCCATTTAGATGTGCGGTGACTGTCAAAGCAGACGACTCAGAAGAAACGCTTGTGGATAATTTTTGACGGGGCCCCCGCTTTCTGTGCCTTTTTCGCAATCAAACAATCCGGAAAACAACTCGTCCCTACCCGCTGTGAATAAATGCACGCAGCGCACCTAATCAGTAAATATCATCATCCTGAAATAGAAATAGCTCAATACTAAACTAATATTCTAAAGCATACTAATAAACCCACATATTTCCCGCAACTGCAATCTGTGCCCTGAATTTCTATGTCAATTTCTCTCTTGGTGCATTGCAACCTTTCTGGTTTCCGTGCCGGGCCAAGGGGCAGTCCATTTTGACAAGACGTGGCCCCATAAAGGCCGGCACCCCATTCGCAGCTTGCTGCTGTCGTAGGCTTACAAGGTCCAACTGTCCGTTCTCAAGTCTACAGCGTGAAAGCGTTAATTGGTACATCCATAGGACGTGCAAAACGGATAACCCTCCTGCATCCTCTAGTGTCTAAGGATCAAGGGGATGACGTGGACATGCCATTCTGCCCACTCGTCAGGCAGCTTTGGCAACAAAACCACGGCGCCAACAGGGTCATACTGTAGATGGACGAAATCCTGCACCACCTAAGAAACCTGGAATGATGCTTCCATCCATACCCCTGGTTTCCAAGTGGTGCAGTCCACAGTATTTTCCTTGCAAGCACTACCCCTCAAAAGGAAACTTGCCTTGAAATGGCCGGCTTTGTCTCAAAATAGGGGACCCTCGAATTTGTTGTGTTCCTTTTGGTTTCCCTTTAAAAGCAACCTAGAAAAGGGTAACCCTGGCCAACCGTTCCAAGCTTGCGCCCAGAGCCCGCAAGCCCCTCTCCTGCGGCAGATTGAAGCAATCAGCCGTCCAGTCCACGTTCATGGCGTACCAATGCCGGTGCCGCGCGCGTTCTGCGCGCTTCGGCCGCAGCTATGGCTCGCCAACTCAAAAGGCGTGTTTGTCTCGGGGTTTGCCACACATGTAATTCGCGGTCAAGTCCCTGTCGGCACTGTCTTGTTCAACTTTATCTTACCAAAACATGCCACGGCATTAGTTGTTCCCCTCCATAGAGGGCATCTTCACCATGCCAAATCAACAAGCAAATGGACATGACCAGCCTTGCACGCTGGCAGTATCTGTGTCTGCTTGAGCCAGAGCACAGATACTAAAATGCGCTGCTGTGAAGTACGAACCGCGCGCAGCGGGAGATCAGCCCGCTTTCTCCAGCTTCTGAGCCCACTTGGAGCCATTGCTATTTTGGATTGAAAGGTAAACAAATGTGGCCGCGTCGCACAAAGCGACTCCGGAAGCGCCTAGTGCTTGTCCATAATTAGAAGAACAAATGCAAGTTAGAAGAGTTGATGCATCACGTGTTGCAAAGCTTCAAAATTTGTACATCGCCATCGCCATGACCACCCCACAGGACTGGCGACGCTGACAATGTCACATCCAGTTGGGACTGGGACACGGCTAAACAACAAGTTATCCTAGAAGTTTAAAGGTCCAAAAGGCTTGCTTTTGAAAGAGCAATGCGTACAGTACATGCAATTTCAAACATTGGGTTATCCCTTGGGGACAATTTCTGTCCAAGGAGCTAGCCCCATGATGGCGTTTAGAAGACACCACCAAAAACCACCGGCCTGGCCAGAAGCAAAGGCCCCAGCACACCACCTAAAGCTTCCATGCATAGCAACCTGGATCCCTCTTGCTGCTGGAAGAACCACGTTGTTTCGGCTTGCTAACTTCGTCTGACTGTGGATGGACGAATTTGAAACTATGGGAAACCATGGTTTGTCGGTATTTACAGGGGAATCATCATTCCAGGGTTTCTTAGGTGGTGCAGGATTTGGTCCATCCACAGTAGGGGGCAGAAGGCCGACCGGTCACCAGACTGGACCTGCCAAGCCGCCAGAAGGAGCAAGCCATTCTTCATATAGCTGTGCGTGGAGCCCACGCGGACCTTCGCCGTGCATAGCAAAACCAAACCCACTTAGACAGCAGACGATGCAACGTGCCCTTTTTTTTCCGTTTCGGTTGTTTTACAGGGACGGCGAAAAAAACTTCACGTCTCCCATTCTGAGATGTTCCTCATGTTTCTAGGGGTCAATCTTTCCAGGGATTTTTCTTTCTAAAAAAACACCAAAAACTGAAGGGAAACAGCTGGTTTGAGAAGAACGATGGTTGAAAGAATGGGGAGTCAACCCCTAGAATGTTCCCAACCACGCCCTAGCCACAACCAGTGAAACTCAAGGTAAAGCCAGCCGCCTTCGGGTTTCCTCCTTCTTTCGGCCAGACCCGCCCCTCTTTCGGCCTCATCGGAGGCAATCTCTGCAGCAACCTGGCCACTGCCAAAGGAGATGACCATGGCCAGGGGGCCCTGCTGCTCCTCGCAAATCCCCGACAACGGTCCCAAGGTATTCCCCAGTTGAACATCCTACATTGGCTGCCCGTAGTTGCACGGTTGGTTCATTTTGCAAAGTGTAGTTGGCATCCGTACGTCTCAAAACGGGGGTTTCGACCCCACGTTTGGGATTGGCGCGAAACCCAGCCAACTCTTGCCATTTTCGGAGGGAAGCCCCGATGTTTGAGACCAAGCCGGTGGCTCAAATCGTACGCTTTTCGGTACCATGGGCATGACAACCTTTTCACTGGGATGTTCTGGGCGGCAGGGACCCAGCCCAGTCCGCAACCATGATCCTGCGGCCCGTGCTTTCGGACTTTTCTGGGAAAGAAGAAACTAACTGATCCAAGAGGAGGTACTTCAACTCACCAAGAGCTTTATTTTTGGGGGGAGATGAGAGATTCACCTCACATCAAGTGCGCATGGTTGTGGAACATGGCCTTTCCTGTGACATCAAAAAATGCCACTCCTTTGACTACATTGACGCTGGGGCTCCTTTGCAAACACAGAAAGTGGCACGAAAACCCCCACCCCTCAACCGTGGTCCTGCAGGTCTTGTTGGCAGCGAAAAAACCAAACGAAAATAACAATCAACTCCAATTCGTGCTTGGATGAGCAAATGTTGAAACGCTGATAGAGACGGAATGAATCATGTCCGCGTAGAATGATTAGCTTCAGCTTCAAGCCGGGTCAGAAGTATGCGACGATTGGACAAACTCGTTGGAAAGCTTGATTCCAGCTTTGAACTGGCGCTTTCCCCATGCCAGACAGGTTGGGAACTCATATTAGTCGATGTGTCGCATAGGGCAAAACTGTGCCGAAGGGCTTTGTCCTTCCGCGCGAAGTTGGCGGTGCGGCTCGTATTCCCGTTCTTGTAGACGGTCATGTCGAACGACGTGGAACGCTTGGGACCTGGCCGAGCACTCGGCCATCCGTGAGTGTATCTGAATTTCGAAGTGGATCTGTGTGGCCATGCGGCACACTTCGGTGCCGGGCGGGGGGGGGATTCCATGGTGTGCCAACCCGTAAGCCCCAAGGCTTGGTCACACAAATCCACTGCAGATGGCTACGATTCCAAGTTGCCCCAACTGTTGTGGCTGGAAGTGGCCGCCTTGCGACATTCATGTCCCTTCATGAACGCCCAATGAATCAATCAACTCCGGATGCATTGGTTCAAGAGGGACTATGAGGTTGTGAGGTGCTCATGCAGCAAGTGGCATAGCTTCACTCCCATTGGAAACTTGACACTGCACAAATGGGAAAATACGGGACCTCCAAACCGGTCTCTCTTTTGCTCCCTTTGAACACCAACCAAGGGGTTCCCAAAACAAGACACACCCAAATACAAAAATACAACTCTCTGACACTCGCCATCCCGGGACAACTTCTCGCCAAAGACGCAGCAGATTTAAGCCACAGCGCGCTTGCCCTGACAGCCAGACACCTAGGACAGCGCCTGGCCAGCCAGCAAAGTAAAAAAGACCCTCTGCTCTTTCCAGCTCCCAAGGTTGTGCATGGTTGGAGTATGGCTCAAGTGATCCTTCTTGGCGGGCTGCTTGCCGGAAGATTGATGGCATGGTCGCCTCACTTCTGGCGAGACTGTCCCTTGTCTTGGTTGCAGACGGTAAAATTACCCTTTTGCTGTTGGCCGTTTTCGGGGCAGCGAGTGGGGTTTCTAGTAGCTGAGTGCTAGACTCCTACTTGGGACTTTCATTTAAAGCCATGAGCGCGCGATCAGAAGCCCTTCAGAACCTCGTAACTCCACGCCCATCAAGCACAGAGCATAAAACGCCTCGCTTCTAGGCCCTTCCAACGAACCATTCCTTTGTGGAAAGCCCCAGCGCTTGTCGCCAAGATCAGCTTCCCACGTTTGTGCAGCGTCCAAACGTCAAAGTGGAGTCAACGGCCCCCAGCTCCACCGCCAGCCGCCAGCTGCCGGCCCGCGCCTGTGAAACAGGAGCCCCAGTCTCGTGGGCAATCTCGGCAGGTGCAGTCCACGACGATGAGGTCGTTGCTACCTGCGCGCGCAACTCAGACCCAGGCGTCAAGTACCCCATCTAGGTCCTCCAGTAGCGAGGTTAGAAGAAGGGTACCCTTTTTTCTGTAGCCTATTTTAGTAGGGGAACCCTCCCCCAAAAAGGGGAGAAAAAGGGCACTACTGGAAAACCTAGCCATGAGGAGGTACCTACAAACCCCCTGTTTGGCCCCTATAAGAAAGTGCTTGGCCATTCTGGGGCTGGTTGATTTCAAGCTCCCTTGTTGAAAGGGCAGCGAGACCTTTTGACACACCCCGGAAACAGCCACTTAGCTGCCAGCCCCCAAGCCACTGCTTCCTGTCATTCGCCATGGCTCTTCAAACCGACGCATGGCCCAGTGCACCGAGCTCCGAGGGATCCCATGAAGGGGCCGGAAACCTGGCGGCTGAATCGCGTCCAATTGCCACGCCCGCGTCTGCCGGACTGAAACCGGCGGCTCACCCCATCCGGGGCCCCGCAGCCCCGCATCTTCTGAGTGCCAAATGCACATCCAAGCTGCAGGCTTGGAGCTTCTAGTGAAGTGATCGACGGAACTTGATGCACTTGCGTATCTGCACAATAGGTCCTTTCTCCTTTTTAGGGGTACCCTTTTGGGGGTTGTGTCAAACAGAAAAACAAAAACGTTGTGGCAGCCTTTGAAAAGCGGCGGGCGCACCGCGTCCTGGACTCCTAGACTCTGGACTGAGCTGCCGAGCTCGAGGGGCGCTAAAGGCTTCGCGCGAAAGAAAAACGAATGTAGAAACATACATGGCAAAATAGAAACAACCCCGAACCACCAACCACCAGTTAGATAGAAACATCTGCAATTGGTTTTACCATATTTCCAAAAGCTGAATTAAGGGATTCCCCAAGTACAGGACCTTGTCATAATGAGAGCTTCTCGCTATTAAAAAAAGGCAGAAACATACGCATATACTGATATACACGCATACCCTTGTAGAGGGTAGATGAGAAACAACCCATTTCGCCACCAAACCACCGGGCTCCAAACCACCAAATAGAGGGAAGCTGAGGATTGGTGATTTCCCATATGAAGGTTGATCAAACAGTAGGAACCACCAAAAAAGATGACTTTCACCACTACATGGGAAAAGGTAGCCAGGGTCATCCTGGGGCCAGGAATATTGATCAACCCACAAATGCACGCATACAGCCATACAAACATACGAACACGCAAACATACATACCACAACTGCTTGCTGAAGGGGAAGGATTCAAACAGTAAAGGAGGTTCATCTTGGCAGATACGACTTGAAGCTTGTCAGGATATAGCAAGTGGTATTGATCTTGATTAAATATGGATACAAATACAAGCGACCACTGACAAACAAGAACGGAGGAAACAAACACTTTGCTTGGATAACACTGGTTTGACTGGTTTGATTCCGGTTTGATTGACCAAACCAAACAAAACGGACAACAAAAGAGCGCTGCTTGGAAATCAAAGGATTTGGGTGTCTGTTTTAGGCAACATTTAAAATGGTTGGTCTCCTTTTGGTTTCCCTTAAAAACCAAACCAAAGCGGGTACCAACTCCAAAGAACGAGACACCCACTTGTTCACCGGCTCAGAGCCCCGTCTCCCGCGCCTGTGTCTGCCACAAGTTGGAAGGCCTGTGGCGGTGTACCGATGCTCACCTGCCATGCCGGCGAGTCGGCGAGTCGTCGAGTCGGCTGCGTGGGGGCCGACTAATTTCGGGAGCACTTCAACATGGGGGTGTCTTTTTTGAGGGTGCCATTTTTTGTGTTGGCGTTTTGGGAGTCCCAAAACGCAAAAGACACACCACATGTCATCCTCATAAAGCGATGAGTTTCATCCTGCTGGATTTGAATGCCGGATGATAGTACCACACAAAAACAATAAGGGGAGCATCAACAACCGATATACAAGCAACCCCAGAAATTGCCGACCCCCAACCCCCCCACCGGCCCCATTGCCGGGTAATATCTGCCACTATGTATATGCAACAATGTGGATCATGTGACTAGGACAACAAACTTGAGTGTGTCTTTCTGGCTGGGCTTCACAAAGTGGGTCTTGTCTTTTCTTTGAACGTACCTTGTTTTGATGGTTCCAAAGGGAAACAGAAAAGCAACCATTTTGGGGGTCGCCGAAAAGAGAAACATCCCCAAGTGACGCACTGCTGCCAATGGTTAGTCATGCTGCCTTCGAGGTTTCTGGAGGTCCGATAGGCTCGCATTAACCCCACAGCTTGGCCGAACATAAGGGACAGGAGAGGAGTCAGCCTGAAGGAAGCGCTTGAAGTACTGTGGATGGGCGAAATCCTGCACCACCTTGAAGCCATGGGAAACCATTGTTTGTTGGTATTTACAGGGGAATCATCATGCTAGGGATTCTTGGGTGGTGCAGGATTTCGGCCATCCACAGTAGCACCAAACTTTGCCATTTCAACTAATGGTTCTGCTTGGAGGATGTTCTGCGAACAGGTGACATTTCAAGTTTTAGTGAATCTCACCATTGCTTGCCTGTCAAAACCACGCAATCTGCGTCATTTAGAAAACACCCATTTCACTCACATTCAACAGTCTCCACACTTGGCTGCTCGACAAAGATCCCATGTCAGCGATTCTTCCATTCTCCTGAACATCACTCTCGACATGGTCGCTTCCTCTCTGCCCGGTGGAAAACAGCCGTGCTTGAACTTTGACTCCTCTCCGGCTCATCTCTTCCAACCTCAAGCCCCCAAAAAGGCGGGCTTTTAAAAAACCCGGGCGAGCCCCAAAACCCAAAAACCGCCCCCTAAAAAAACGCGACCGGGCCCCGTTTGCCTCCAAACCGGAAAAAAAAAAAGACGCGGAGAAAAAAAAAAGCGCAGGCGCCTTCACGGAGGAGAAGGACACGTGGTTCTTCAGGGGCGAGCAGGTCTCCTCTGGTGGATTCGCGAGCAGCTCCTCGGCTTGTTTTCGCTGAGGATCGGAGCGGAGACCACTTGTGGCAGTGGGGTGGGTGGGAAGAGGGTCCGCGAAATGCGCGTGATTTGTCTGCCCCAAGCTGTCTATATATATATATATATGTGTATATATATATATACATATGTATATATATATATATGTATGACATACATATATGTATATATGTATATGAGCCATAATATATGCACATGTGTGAAAGGTGGGCAGAGACAGTTCTGGCGGCAAGAATCTAAAAAGGTATGCGTGATGACATCGTGCGCCTGACATGTTGATGACATGGGCTGGATTGTTCTTGCCTGGAAACATCGCGAAAATGATCTCAGATGCATTTGGAAAGACCCGGAAGACACTGAACATACCGTCAAGCAAGCAACCAAAATCCACTACACCGCTTAATACTGGGGCCTTTCCTATGTTGCAAAAGCAATGGCCCAATTCTCCACCGGCTTCACTAATTAAGTCTGTCAGGATTCCGGATGTCTGTTGAACGCGCATTCAGTGGGACCTGACTGGAAGAGCCGCAAGTAGTGAAAACAATGCTTGCTGAACGAGCACGGGCAGTTTACATTTGCATCTATTTGCAATGGTTCGCTAGCCTCTTGCATCGCTTTGCAGGAAAAGTGACACTTCATCTAAGAAGAACGGGTGCTCCCTGTGAGGTCGAGCCGTAAGTTGCCCCGACTCATTACTCCTCAATCTGAACAGTGAGTAGTATCCCAGCGGAAAACATCCAGTCGTTGTGAGAGACAACCCTTTCTGTGATACCAACATTGGATTCCCATCCCTACGACGACGTGTAGTTCTGTGGAAGGGAATTCCCTTCCGAAAACGTGGCAACCTAAAACCGTCAAACGCACGAACACGCACGCGCATGCGCTGGACTTGACGTTTGAAGTCCGTCAGTCAGAGACTCGGCCCACGTTCTCTCCTTCATTTGAAAAAGTTACAATACGGGTCTGTCTTTTTTTTGAGCGTACTCTTTTGTTCGCAAGGGAAAATGTATGGACAAACCAGTCCCCTGAAAAACAGAAAAAGAAAACACAGGCTCATAATATGTCCACAACCTCGGGGCCACATCATGGTGAAGTTAGAGTGTTTCACCCCCAGGTTGAGCTCGCCATGTGATAGGCAGACTTGATAACGCTTGCGTGTGGCATTGCAAAGTTGAGCACCCGGAGGCTGCTCGGCGATTGATGTACTCACCAGCTGAACGGAAGGACCCCTAAAAACCTACCATTTTTAGGATCGGAACCTCCTTTTGGGGGGGGGCTGTTTTGCCTTCCTTGTGCGGGAATACAATCAAACTCAATGTCCGCGGGGGGGGGGACGTTCCAGTCCCCTCTTTCTACACACACCCACGCAAAGCTGGCCCTTGCAGCTCAGCTCTCACTGAGGACTCGGCCCTCTTTTGTCTCTTCAAGAAGGCGCCCTGGTACAGTGGGATCAGAAGGGTGATGAAGAAGAACGTGCCTGCGGCACGATCCTCTCAGGATCCGCCACGCACTGTGCCATCGATTTGTGTGTTTGTTGCCCGCTGACTTCTCCAGTCGGCTCAAATGGGCACCTGGAGATGCTTCCAAATCAGTGGTCCAGTGGTCTTTCTGAGTGCTTTTCCGTAACAAAGGGAGCCCTTGATTTGACACTGAGCCCAGCATGCATTGTCCGGCCTCTGCAAACCAGTGCGCAAGCCAAGCGAACGTAACATACACACATGGATATCGGCATTGGGTGGCCCCAAGCAGAATCAAGGAAGCAACGATGTCTGACAATATCCCCTATCTTCATCGAGACCAGAATCCTGAACAACATCCCGCTAGCTTAGCACGACGCGCCTTGCATGGTTCGTAATCGGATCGCGCACAGCCTCAGCGCGGCCAGAATCAACTAACAACCAAAAAACAACTGCGTCCAGCCAGACTTGAGGGTCAATTGAGTGGACCCCTTTTAGGTGAGACTAGCCGTGTTGAATGGAGGTGGGGCCGTTCCCATGAGGACTACCCCACACGTACATGCACAATGCATAGTGGCCAGGTGACTCCCCGAACAACACCTCCAGGATCACTTGCAATTCAGTTGGGGCCGGCAATGAACGGAAGGGCTTTCGACGTAAAAACTCAGTGGCTACATGTCAAGGTGGCTACATGTCAAGGGCCAAGGTCTAATGAGGTTTCACAAGGTCCGCAAGGGTCCAATGAGGAAGGTCAAACCAATATGGTCCAACACGGTCTACAAAGATGAGGTCTGATAAGGCGTCTTGAGGCCAAATAAGGTCTAACAAGGACCAATCAATGAGGTGTAATCACAGTCAACTACCCCCCTCATAGCCCTGTCTGACCCCCAGCAAGTGTTGCTACGTCAAGCGTTGAAGAACCATTTCGGGCACTTGGGCAAATATTCCCAAATGAAAGAGAGGCAGCACGCTGAGGCTTTCTCTTTTATGCTCTGCTCAGGGAATGTCAACGCCAGTCTGGTTCGTGACACGGCGCTTGGCAGTGTCCACATTGTTATGAAATAACAATGGGTAACGTATCAGATGGTGGGGAAAGGAAGCCACACACATCTGTAAATTGGTTAGACGGGTCAGCCCCGTCTGAACACAACACACCCCTCCTCAAGTCCACACAAAGAACCCCCCGCTCCCTCTAGTGGGGTTCAGGGTGGGAGGGTGGGAGATTTCTTTTTTTTCCTCTAGTGGGCCTCCAAAGTTGGCACCAAGGCCCCCCATGCATCCACTTTCTCACACCTTTCTCTTTTATGCTCTGCTCAGGGAATGTCAACGCCAGTCTGGTTCGTGACATGGCGCTTGGCAGTGTCCACATTGTTATGAAATAACAATGGGTAACGTACCAGATGGTGGGGGAAGGAAGCCACACACATCTGTAAATTGGTTAGACGGGTCAGCCCAGTCTGGACACAACACACCCACTGTCTTCAACACACCCACTGTTCAAGCATTCTGGGCACGAGCTAGTGCCTGATCTAAGGCCCCGCGACTCAGTCTTTGAGGAGAATGATAAGAAGCAATGGTCCAGCCCTGCTGCGTGCTCCATGGGTCGCAGACCCCGTGGCGAGACAAGCCATCTGAAGGGTTAGAACCACTATCAATCCACTCAATCCAAGTTCGTGCTTGGAGTGCGTGCAACAAATACTGCGCGTATTGCGCAATCTCACGCACGTCTTCCTGAGAACTGGCTCCTCTAATCAATGCAGAAGTAGCGGCCTCGTTGTCTACAAACCACAACAAATCGCGCAGCCGTAGCAAATCTGGATGCAGAACAGGGAGAAGCAAACCACAAAGTGTCTCCCCTGGAAGAATACCACCCACACAAAAAAACTTTGGCCCGGGCCATCCAAGCCGCAAGAGCCTTTTTCGAAGGAGGCATCGAAATAGATCACCAGAGGTCGACGCTCCGGGCCGCACACTGTGACAGTGCGCGGACTGTGGTCCCGAACAACCAAAGCCAGCAATTGCAGAGTGAGCCGATCGCAGTCTTGCAGGCTCTCATCAGCAGCATGCTGGTACTTGGTTATGATAGGCTGCGCCAGATGCCCCATGTGACCGGAAACCATTGCGAACATCCGGGTCAGGTCACCCCGAAGTTTGCCTGCCAAGTCCCGTCACAACACAGCTTCTGTTAAGATACTGTCAAGCTTGGTCAAGACTTTGGCCGTCGTGGTGGCAAACTTGGGCTGTGTGCGCACTGCACCACTGTCCAAGACATCGCCCAAGTGAACAGAGGCTCCCAAGTAGTGGCGGTCGGGCGCCGGGCTGAAACTCTTCGGCGGCTGTGGTGGAGCACCCATTGCAGTGAAGAGCAAGAAAAGCCCTCGCTGCGAAATGTTGGCGTCAAGCACGGTCTCCACCGAGAGCTCGTCATCCACTCCAAGCTGCGGGAAACGGTTGAAGGCCACTACAGCGCTTTCCAGACCGAAGGCCAGGCCCCATACGACGGTGTGGCGCCAACCGCGGTGGGGCACCCAAATGGCCACAACGGAGAAAGGCAAGCGCTCATCCAAGACCGGGAGACCTCTGTAAGCGTCTGGGAGGTCATCTGTGCCTAGGCGAAAATGAAGCCACTCCCCAAGCTCGAGGGCACGATGCGCCCATTCTGCGAGCCAATTGTTTGACGACTGCGGGGATGAAGTCGACAGAAACCGTAAAAATTGTCTCAAACATGGCGGTGAACTCGTTGTGCAGCGTCTTCCGGGCGTTGTCAATCATTCGTCGTTTGCCATCCGGCTGGACAATGAGAAACCTCTCCAGCGGTCGCAATTGGCCACGTCCGAACCTGGCATCCACTTCCCTGCGAGTCAGAACAGGACTGCAGAACTTTTTCTCTTGCTCTTCAAGTGTCAGGTCGTAAATGGCCTGATGGTGACGAGGGGGGCCGCACTCTTCAATAGCCTTGACAGCCGCAACAGCTGCTTCCCCCAGCCACTCATTGGTGCTCTCCGGAAGCGGCTCGTCAGGGTCAAAGACCTTGGCTGCTGGCACAGCAGCCTGCTTCCTCTGCGATTGCCGCTGATGGGCGCCACCTCCTTGGTCAACTCTTTCTCCCATGTGCCATGGGCAACCATGTGCACCAGGTCGTCCAAGGTGCCAAGGAAGTCCTTGGCCCATTCAGGCTTCACATTGGCGACTGTGAAACAAGCCTGCAGGCCACGGTCATCAGCCAGCACGTCAATGCGGCTCATGGCGATCACGGAAGTTGGCTTGAAGCCAAGAAAAACTCTCAGCGGAACTCAGTCCACCTGCCGTGGTGTTGGAGGAATGTAGATCGCTGGATGTGTTCCCACCGGGCACAAGCAATGGCTGACTGCGCAATCCACGCCAAAAGAAGCTTGTGGGTGCCCTGGGCTCTCGAAGTCAGCAAGAGAAAGTTGACAAGCTCCCAAGGTTGCAGCTCTGGAGCTTGGGCGCTGGTGTGGGTCCCGGAGTGGAAACGGTAAGGAGCCACCAAGTGGTGATCCATGTCAAACTTGGCCCCAGCATGGCACGCAAACCATTTCTATGCGGCGCGCATGCTGGCCGCCGCCGTAAACCCCCTTAACTCCAGAAGGAGGCCAGCTCGAACGGCTTGGGGCGCTGCAGGTTCCACCCCTCCCTCTGGCAGTGCCGGGCCCATTGGCGGAAGCTGCTAACCAGGAGCAACTCGCTGCGTCGACAAACGGCTGGCGCCGTGCAACACAGTGTGACGGACCCCTTGTCGGGCCACCGGGTCTCGAAGGTCCTGCTCTTGGACGCCAAGCCAAGCTCGGCCAGGTCGACGACATACTCCAGCAAGATATGGAAAAGTAAATCCAGCTTGTTCTGCTTGACAGCCTCATCCTTGACAATCTTCGCGTCTTGGCCCTCAACAATTGTGGCGGGCTGGGACTGCCCAGACCCACCCGCCACCAAGTGCTTCATGCGGGCAGGCCTTGCTGCCGGCTCTGCAGGGGTCAAGCATGTTTCGTGGCCTCGAGCCATTCGACCCGCGTCCAGACACCAGCCATCTCCAAAGCAGCGTCGGCATCCACCCGCGCGCGCATGGTGGAGCTGATGTGGTCAAGGAAAGCATCGACGTGAGGGTACAGCCCCACCAGATCACTGGCAGTCTCCACTCCCTCAGCACCCAGCGCGTTCAGGACTGGAGCTGGCAGATCCAGCAGAACCTCCTTCAACTCTGGCACCATGTTGGCAGTGGCCTGCGCGCTGAAGCGCGGTGGCATGGCAGGCGACCTGGGCCGCGCATGCCCTGCCACTGCGGAAGACCTCGGCAACGGAGATCTTGAGGGGCGGCTCAGGTCAATGGGATGCGCCCTCTTTGTTAGTCTCCCACGGTCTGCCATTGCACCGGTCAGGGTGGCTCCCAGAGCACACCCGTCGCGGCGCTGATGGCAACCGCCCGCGCCGGAAACGACCTCAACCTCCCCTTTCCAGTGGCGCCGAGGTGGTCTGGCCCGGGGAGGTGGCAGCAGTCAAAGCTCAACTGTCTCCCCCAAGACCAGCCACTCCACTGGTTAGGGGTCGCATAACGGGAGATAGATTTCTTTGTTTTTTCCCTAGTGGGCCTGGAGCCAAAGATGGCACCAAGGTTTTCCATGCATCCACTCTTTCACACCCCATGAAGGCCCTCCCGAACCAACCTACCTTTCGTGGTGGGTAAAAAGGACGTACAACTCACAAATCCAGTTGACATGTCCAAATTAGTTGTCGATGCATTCACCCCTGCTCTGCTAGTCGTTTGTGCAGACGGTTCAACCCAAACACTTCAAGAAAATAGCTCTGAGTTCTCCCAACCTGTATAGAATGCGGGAATTATCTCAACATTGCTTTCTTTTGCAAATGTTCCATTTGTGGTTGGATGGAGTTCATTCGACCAGTTTGGCCATTGTCCGCCGCCTTGATCGAGAGCCAAGCCGCGTCCCCGAATTCGGCCGAGGCGCGGCAAGATGGTTGGATAGTTCGTGAATTGTCGGCTTGAGCCGACACTATGGGTATCTGCTGCCCGCAGGCGGACGGCCGGACAGGCGGTCAACTCTCAACCAAAGTGCAAAGCTTTGGAGAAAACAATCCTTCCAGATGAAAAGCTTGAGGTAGAGAGGATAAACCTTGAGGCATCAATTGCATCAATATGAATGGACCACAAGGAAAACATACCCGCGGGGCATGCGAATCTTGCAGGATAAATTTCTGAATCGGTGCAGCAAACATTTGGGTGGCGATACAAACGACCCCATCTTCCCGTCTTCCGAGGATGAAACATTTGGAGCACCGTCATTCTTACTGTCTATCAATGCCTCATGAATCATACGAACCCGCAGTTCAAAACAACATCCTATCATATCCTATCTGCTGGGAAATCATAGCAAGGTGTCCTTGGCTTTTTGTGCTTGGTAGGAGCAATCTGCAAGCCAAATGTTCAATGGAGCAGGTCAAATCAAGATCAAATGAACCGTCCTTCCATCCCGTGAGGCCAAGGGCAAAGATTCAGTGGACATCCAGCTCAGATGCTCGCCAGGTGTGAATGCATTGTCACATGAGAAGCCTCCACCAACAAAAAATGGTGCGCAGCTCCCTTTGTTGCCAAAACACATGTCCCGCGCTCTAAACCACTGTCCAGCTCTTGGACAACGCCTTGACCAAGAGACAAGTTGAGGAAAGCATCACGGCAGTTGATGTCCGGCATTTGCATTGCTGGATAAGCTGGCCTTGATCAACAGAGTGGGGCCACCCATTGGTTGAAACATGTTTAAACCACTGGTTATGATGATTATTTCCTTGTAACAGTGGCGTTTAAACCATATTTTGCCCCACCCAGATCAAAGGCTGCCTGCCGGCACTCACAGGCGCCACATTCCTCCACCAGAACCGTTTCTTGGGGTCTGCGGAGAAACTGGAAGCCTTCGTTCTGACAAGGTCAAAGCGACGGGCCAAGTGGTACGCAAACAACTGGCCTCATGATTTTACCATGATCAAAGTCACCCCCTAAGTGGTGGGTTAAAGGGAAACAACCACGTTGTCTGACTTTGATAACCCCCAGAAACAGTCAAAATAATGACCCCAGAACAAAACCAATGCCAGAATCTTGTTTGGACACATGGGGATTTGCCATCATGTTTGATCCTTATTCATATTGGGTGCAACAAATGTAACAGAACTGAACAGTTCAAAAAAAAAAAACTGCACGAGGCCCAACCTCAGAGACCGACAAACAAATTTGTTCAGCTTCCCTCTTGGCGGCTTGGATTTGTCCTTGGGAGGTTCGGGATGGCAAGCCACGTCCCTCAAGGGCCGGGGTTCAAATCCCCAATGCACCAACTCGAACCACCAACTAAGGGCTACCTCAATTTCAAGCTTTGTTTATATCTACCACCTGGAAGATCAGTTTCCTCTTGGAGAAAACCCCCTGTGAAATGCCATGGAAACGTGGGAGAGAGGGTATTAAAATGGGCTAGAACCATGTAAAGAATCGGAAAGGCGGCCGCACCCATTTATGGTGAGGATTTTCCCTTACCACCATCTCTGATTAGGTGTAATATCTAGTCAACCGTTAAAACACAAAAACAACAAAGGAAACACATACCGAGGCCCAAACCCCCAGGGTTTGCTTCGCTCCCCGTGCCTCTTGAGCTTCAACGCGTGCCCGGGCAGCATCCCCAGCTCCTACAAGGTCCGCAAGGAAGAGAACCCTAGGATTGGGAGATTCATTTAGGAGCAGTTGGGGGTGGCTCGGATTCTTTTTCAGGGGACCATTTTGGGACCAACCAGGTTTCTTTGGGGGTGGTTCCATTCTCTGATGCCACCTTGGGGTGGGTTTAAAGGGACACTAAAGGGACACCAAATTGTTTGGAGGTATTTTTTGTTACACACCCATTTGAGGATCCCCCGACTTTGAGGGCCTTTTTTGGTTGCTTTAAAGAGCATCACAAAGTAATCAGATCTTTCGATCAGGGCATGTTCTAATCTGGCAACCTTGCAAATGCTGAAGGCCTTTCAAAAAAATGGTGGGACTGTATTTGGACCAATTGTACCGTACCTAACTCATCTGACCAGCCGAAGCCACCATGGCACAAAATACAGCAAATATTTATGTATCTTGTCCTTGTATGCTCCAGCTGTGAACATGACTGCTGCCACTCCCTTCGATTCAAACATTTGGAACAAATGCATGGGTGTTGTTTTTTTGCGGGACCCCCAAAATGGGTGCTGTTCTTTTTGCCAAAGGCAACCAAGGCTGAATTCTTTCGGAAGCCACCAAGCATGGAAGCGTTCAGACTTACTCGAGCCAAATGCGGTCGCACCGCAAACCGGCCATCGTAACTTTCAAGCTGGCGAAGCCCAAGGATCCAAGTCCTACGTCCAAGGCTGAATGAAAAGCGCGGCTTCAGGTATCACTATAGCTTCCTGGAACAAGTTGCGAAAAAAATCCCCTTCAAACACCACAAACACCGAAAAAGGACACTCACTTCGAGTTGGCCCAAAAGGAATTCGAAAAGCAACCAAGAAGAGATACACATGCATACACATGTGTATATATATATATGCAGTATATATATATATAGGGCCTTTGCCGCAGGCCACGATTGTGATCGGTAGCGCAGTCGAGTGGAATGTAGGCGTGTCACACGCCGCTCCTTGAAGTGGGCCTCATCCATGCAGAACACTGTCTCCAGATCATGATACCCAGCGGCCTTGCCACAGATCGCGGAGCCACAGCCCAGATGGCAGTAAAGGCCCATATTCTATGATACTACTGTGGATGGACGCAATCCATTTCGCTCCACATGGAAGCAGGGCAAACCATTGTTTGTTGGTATTTACAGGGAAAGCATCATTCCACGGTTTGTTAGGTGGTGCAGGATTTCGTCCATCCACAGTATGATAGTATATATATATATATATATACATAAGAACTCTTCAACAAGCCACCTTCCTGCACAAAAAACAAACCAAAGCACAAACACAAAAAAGAGAGAGAGAGAGAGAGATTCAGCTTGGCCTCACGTGAGCAAATGTCTGTTGGAGACCTTCCAGGAGAGGGGCAGTCTTGAAAGCTTTGGCTTTGGGTCAGGCTTCATGATGGACTCCGTGCTGTCGAATGGGTTCCAAGGCTTCCAGAATGGTCTGGAGCAAACACATGCAAACTCAGCCGCGCCAGAAACCTCAGAGAGCTGAAAACAATATCACCCAGGAGCCCAGCTGCGTAGCTTTTGGTTTCATAGAGGACTGTCCGGCAGAGTCGGATAACGACTCTTGGATCCAACACCTTAGAGATCTGTCTAATGTTGGCGATTCATTTTGGCCGATGTACATGCTGCATGATGCTGGAATCAGGGTTAGTGTCCAGACAGCACGCAAATAGGTGAAGCAACGAAACAATCATGCATTGGGCCTGATTTGATTCATGGCAAGCCTCTTGCGGTGGCGGGAAGCCCTTTCCCTTCATATAACCGAGTTGCAAGCAGTGACCGGACAGTTGAAGAAGGGAAACCATGTTTCGGGGTTGACCATGTGGCTATGAATTTTAGCAGGGACCCACCTCACAAGTTGTTGTTGGGCATTTTTCTCCCCTACCGCCATTTCCTTGCGGGAACCGCTGGGAACCGCTGGGAACCGCTAGGAACGAGCGCCAGCTCCTCCCCGCCTGAAAGTGCTGGCAGTACTGCGCCAGCCCGTGGTCCGCCAAGAAGCCGGCCACTGGGCCCGGGGCCTGGTGAAAGCCGTGGCGCTGCAACTTGTCGCAGCCCCGAAAACCTGGAGGCGTGGCGGACTTCGACCTATCTTGACACCGAGGATGGACGATATCCCAGTTCGCACTTGAGAAAAAAGAAAAAAGGAAAAACATTGTTTGTTGGTGCTTACAAGGAAGCGAGCAATTGCAGGGTTTCTTAGGTCGTCATCCACAGTATGACCTGATTGACATGGAGAGAACAGCAACCATTTTGTTTGCAGGATTGTCAAAGGCACCCCCAAACTGGTAGGTTCAGACTTTGATAACCCCCAGTTACACTCCAAATAATGATGCCAGGAGAAGGCCTCCAGGACTGCATCTTACTTGATATGACCAAATGTCCTCCTTATTCAATAGAATGATCATGCAACCAACCCGGCGCACATTCAGTTAGCCCTCTCTCCAGTCGTGGTGCGTCCTTTTGAACGGGCAGTCGTGTGGCAAGGCCTAGCCTCGCTGCCGGTGGGTCGCACCTCGGCCACTTAAGCCGGCTGCATTGTCGAGCGGTGCGGAACCTATGCGAGAAACGATCGAAGGAAAACCGAGCCATTGAAAGTTCGGATCTCCACTCACCAACATGAGTTTGCCACTGCTCGTATGGCTGTCGGTAAAGGCAAAGGGCGAGAGTGATACATGGGATTTGATGGAGTCTCCTGCAAGTTGCTGGTGTCCTGTTGGTGTCCATTTCCAACAAGCCCAAGAGAGTGTGTGTAGTTGGCTCACATCGTCAAATCAGTTGAGGTACCCATAGTTCGAAGCAAGTGCCAAAAGATCGACGACCACCGGCGGGCAAAAAGTTCCTCAATGCATACGGCTTCCACAAGCACAAGGAGCGCCCAGAACACAGCTTCTCTTGTAGAATTGGGGCAGTGCTTGTCCCTGTATCTCAGATTTTGCCAACTGACACTAGATTCTCCGTAGCTTCCAGAACACGCTGGGCACATGGTCGGGCCATTGGATATGGCCCACAACAAAGGGCCGCACAATGAAAATCATATCTTCTGAGTCTTCATACCTAGTCCACCCTAAAATACAAGACATGCTTCGGAGACAACGGATTAAACCTCATGCGAGGTGTCACATGTGGCAGGTCTCTCAGCCAGACTCTTGTTGTGGCTGAGGTCGAAACCAAGAAACCTTGCATCGGAGTGGGTCAAAACCAATGGGATCCCATTTTGGGGTAGGTGCACCATCCATCTTTGAACCTATTTTAGTGGGGATTGGGATGTTCACTGGGGGTACGGGCTTTTGACCCATGGCCACATGAGATCCTCTGCAGCTGGTACAGGTGATGTTCTATCTTTCAGGTAGCCTGTTTTGTCCCGAAACCGAAATTGACCAGAGACCAAACAGCTTGGCCAACTTGGAATCCCTGCAAGTTGACATCTTGGGTAGGAACAATGAGACCCAAAAGGACAAAAGGCTGTTGACTCCACGGCAACCAAATTAAGCGTGTGTTTGACTTAGCCCCTCATAAACCATAAGTCATCGAAATCCTTGCCACAATCCGCGGGGTCCAGCCAAAGGTGCCCCAAAGGTGTGACCGTGGCACCCTTCTCCTGGATCCGATTCCTTTGAGGCTGAGACTTATACAAGCAACGGGAACCCACTGGTTTCTTGTAGGGTACCCCTATTTACACACAAGCTTTGAAACATCCTGGTTGCTAAAGCTGCTTTCTTCAGGGCTGGAAGCATGCAGAACCCAAACATCTGTGCCAAAAAAAGGCTGGAAGGCAAAACATAACGCTCTACCCCTCAACCCCTCAGGCTACCCCTCAGATTCCCTCTACCCCTCAACCCCTCCAAAGGGACCTTCAGCTAGGTCTTCCAGTGGAGAGGATAGAAAAAGGGCACCCTTTCTTCTGTAGTCTATTTTAGTAGGGGACCCCTCCCCCAAAAAGAAACGGTAAAAGGGCACTACTGGGGGACCCAAAAAAATACCCGGAACAGTTCCCTCAAATAACCCCAACAGACCCTGAATATACATGCATTCCTATCCGAAGAGGACACATAACATACTGTTGATTGTTCGGGGGTGCAATGAAGGGCTTCCGTTTAGGCACCGAAACCGAAAACTTCGTCACGAAGCGCCAAAGTCCTTCGCAGGTCTCTGGGCGCTCCGAACCCCCAAGCCCAGCAGCTGCGCTTCGAGCTCCGCCACACGGGCGCGCAGCTCCTATGGGATCCAAGTGGGAAAACTAGATGCATCAAAAGAAGCAAAAATGACTCAAAATCAATATGTATATATATATATATATATATATATATATACATATGTGTATATATATGTATATATATATATATATGTATATAACAAAATACATACCTGGACAACCATGTCGTGCAGTGTTCTCTCTCTCCCTCTCTCCCTCTCTCTCTCTCTCTCTGTCTCTCAGTTTTTACATGTGCAGAATATAGATGTGTTTGATGCGGATACAACTAAAACTCATATGATGGAAACTGGAGGAAAGCGGAGGGCCCCACAGTCCCTTCAGAGGGTCTTGGTTTTCAAGGTCCCACTGCTATGTGAAACAAGAAGCTAAGGATTTTCGACAGGCCGTGGAAATGCCATGGCAACCGTGGTAAACGCTTGACACCAATACCAAAGCGAAACCACTAAAACGAACGGTTTCTCATCTCGCTTTGGGAGGGGTACGTTACAGCGATCGGACTAGGTGCCTAGACCCTCCGGTCAAACTGGGACAGGAATAGCAATGGGTAAAGTCTCAGAAGTACGGATGCGGGACCTCCCACGAAAGCTTCGTTTCAGGTTGCACATTTAAACGCTCGCCAAAATGGTCCTACTGTGGATGGACGAAATCCTGCGCCACTTTGAAACCATGTAGAACCATTGTTTGTTGGAATTTACAGGGGAATCATCTTTCTATAGTTTCTCAGGGGGTGCAGGATTTCGTCCATCCACAGTATGTTGCAATGATTAATCGAAAAGGCACTGGCCAAGTGCCGGCGGATCATCCCGGTGGAGCAAGTTGCAAAGGCAACCGCGATTACGAGCAATCAAGGGCAACCTGGGCAAACCCAGGCACGTCAATGCCGTATATTACCTAGGTCGGTGGCAACTCACTGTACTGTGACTGGCAGCAAGAACAAGGTAAGAACCCTGCGAGCGAAAAACCCTTCCAAATACAACTGGCACCCAAAGTCATGTGCCAACGGTACATATGAGTTGTGCCAACATGGTTCAACAGATGACACACGTTGCTGATGATTTACCCGCACCACCTTCAAGCGTCCAAGCAAAGACAATCACAAAGCCGAATCCTAGCAGATTCGCTCAGCCCAGGTAAGCAAAGTCCGGTCGCCTCAACCCTCCCCAAAAGGGTGCGTCTTCTTTTAGGAATCGGACCCCCAAAATGTTCAAACCTCTCGGTGTCCCTTGAACAACACACCACAATTATTTTTGTTTGCTTCTTGCTTTTTGTGTTTGGTGTATTGTGTTTGTTTGTTTTTTTCTTTGAGGGGGAGAGGGAACAACACACCCAAAAAGTCGTCCCATCGATCCGTCTCGCTCATCCCATCTCGGCTCCTTCTGTGCGTCCGAGTCCGCCGCCGCAACCTTCTCCACGAAGTTGGAGAAGCCACGCGGCATCGATGGGCGCGACTCCGCGGCTCCGGCCGTTCCGGGCGCCGCGGAAATGGAACCGCTCTGCGACTGATGGAAAAGGCTCGTGCTGGTAGCTGTGTGTTCCATTCAAAGGTAGGCTTGTAGGTTTGAGGTAGGTTCTCTTTGTCCTCCGTGAGTGTTCGAGTTGCAAGATAAATCAACATTCATTCACATCCAGGGTCGACACAAAGCCATGTTGCGCAGAGATTACCTTAGATCCCGTGAAGAAGTGTTGAATCTGGCACATCACGGTAAGGTATCCAAGAATCGAGAGCGGTTTTGTCAATTTGCCCCGGGTCATGCTTTTGTTTTTCTGCACCGTCTACAGGCAACCCATTTATAATTCTGCTTACAGCTGTCACCTTGAAGCCCACACGCTCCCTGCGGCAAGCTATTGGAGCTGCGAAGAAAACAACCGGGAGAATAAATGGAGACTCTCATCTTGAACTTAGATCGATAGCAATCAATTCGCCTAATGACAATAACGGCCTTTCGGGGCCGGGCATGGTTCTTTCACGTCTACCTTCAGACCAGCCTTTACATGGTAGAGATCACCGTCCCCATTCAGGAAGCATGTCTTGCAACCATCGCTGTCTAGGGCGGTCAAGGCTGTCCAGCCAGGGCTGTCTAGTGGCCCCATGTTCCATGACACATGGCTTGACTTCTGCTTGGGGAAGGATCAACCAAGCAAGTGAGTCGTTTCAACGCGGTCCCAAGGGGAGCATCCCACGGACTCCCTTTCGCAAGATTCTTTGAATCTTTCAATGCATCCACGTGCTCGCTCCTTTGGATGCTTCTCCGGTCTCAGTGAATGGTTTTGACTTCCATGATGTAGGATTATTGGACACCGCCACAGAAAGGAACCTTCAGATGACAAAGACGTCGCAAACTGCTCTTCGACTTGACAGCAAACATCTGAACCCCTTATGAGCTCGCTACAAAGTTCCCCAAGATTACCTTCACTGAAAGCTAATCTAAGACCACCACCCTTGTTTTTTTTTGTTTGGGGGAACTTGGGCCAAAAAAAGTGACAATAGGCCCATCAAGACCCCTTTTTCGGGATGATCGTTTTGTTGGTGGGGCCATTTTGACACGGGCGGGTGAGCTGAGCTGCGCCTTTTCGGCCGTTGCGAAACCGCGGTCTAACTGGCCGTGACCTGGAAGCTCCCCGAGACGGTCTCGCCTGGAACACGCTGGACTCGCGGGCTCACTCAAGCAGATCTCTGGAGCAAATTCTCACAGCCTACGTGTCAAGTCCATCTTATGTGGTTGGAGGGCTCTCAAGATCTTGTCCTTGAGAGGCTAGAGAGATCTGTAGTTTGTGTTTCTAGTATTTCCGGAACCTGCAATAAGAATTGGATCCCCAAGCAAAGGACCTGCATGGTCACCATACCATGAGCACGCCGGCAGAAGGTTTCGCCGTGGCCTGGACGTAGGACCACCTCTGCAGGGGCCAAGGCCCTGAACTGCAGGCTCTCCGGTCCTGAGCGGCTTGCATGTGCGACCAGCTCAGGTTAAAGTCTAGGTTTTTCAGTAGAGGTTAGAACAAGGGTATCCGATGTTTTTCTGTAGTCTAAGTTAGTAGGGGAACCTTCCCCCAAGAAAGGGTAGAAGGGAACCACTAGGGGACCTAGTAATCATGGTTATAAGTAAGACAACAGAGGTTGGTGCCCTAAAATGGGCTCTAACAAATGAGCTCCAAACTGTTGGATGCTACACACACTTCATTGTCCTTTGGAGCGAGCTGGAAGCGTTTTTTAGACTCCGTGTAGGGTCGCCTGAATAAAAAACGACAAAAAGGGGTCGCTTTTGAAGCCATGGTTATAACCTGCTAAGCAGGTTGAACGTCCAGGGGCGCCGGGAAGGCGTCAGTGCTGAATTGTGTTGATCCCGTTACTACTTACCTTCCACTCATTGACCTTTTGAGAAATCTGTCCATACGGGTGGCTTGTCTTGTTTTTGGGGACCCCGAGAAATGATGGCTTTCCGTTGCGTTCCCCTTTACAACCATCCAAGAAGAGGTACTCTCAAAAATATACTAACGTGCTTTGCCATCTTGGGAACATGATCCTGGAAAAGGATAGGGGATGCACAGCGAAACATTGGGGTCCCAACTCCAAGCATTCTTCAAGAAACCAATCAGGACACTTGGTGGTTCATTGCTCTCTCGTTAAAACTTAAACTTCTAGTGGGATATGCACTTGTCCCTGCAAATACAAACAGCCTAGAAGCCTAAGGCGTGACACCAAAAAAAGAAAGGGAAGTTGCAGCAGGGATCCTTGATCTCCACTCGCAAACATGACTGCTTCAGCTGTGTGGTGCTGCCTCTCTCTCTCTCTATTGCATCTTCAAAGAGTTTAAGTCTTGAAACAGAATGCCAATTCTACTGGCAAACATCGGGCTTCACAGTTGCTAGCACAAAGCCAAATGGGTTGAATTGTCTGAGGACGGTGTTTGGGGTTCTTCAACGGGAAACCCAAGGAAGCCCATTTTGAAACAAACAAGCACCAGGTACAGGACATCCACATCAAGTCTAAATCTCAAGGCAAAGGCTGCTTCTTGTTTACAACCCACCCGCAGATACGCTTGGTGACATGTCACCGCCTAACAGGATCAAAGAACATCAACAAATGGAAGCTTCGCAATCTGTCTGAAAGACTGATGCGAGTCCATCCCAAACCAGAGGGTCTTGTTTTGGAGACACCAACTTATTTTGTGGAGGGGGGGTAGTCTTTGAGTCCGCACCCCAACCGAAAAAGAAGAAGAAACAAAAAACACGGAGAAACAAACACGGCTCATCCGCTTTTATTTGGTGGTTCCCCTCAGACTTTTTGGACGCGCCATCCCCTCAGCGTGTCGCGGCGCCTGGCAAGAGCTTCAAGACCGAGAAGCCGGTGGTGGCCACTTGGGCGCCTCACTTCGGCCGTGCTGTGAGGTACTGGCGATGGTTGCGAAATCCATTCGCCACCTAAGAAACCATGTTTGAATCCATTGTTTGTTACCATGGGAAACGAAATAACGTTTGCTGCTATTTACAGGGGAATCGAATCACTAGGGTTTCTGAACGGTGGTGCAGGATTTAGTCCATCCACAGTATCCTCCCAACAAATAAACAGAAGGAACATGCACGGGAGCTGGTTGGAAGGCCATTTTCCTTTGGGGGGACCGGTTCCTGTGCAGGTTTCATTGGGAACCCCTGCTTGACTTGGAGAGATCAGTGTGTCCAACTTCTTTTCGGGATTCAGACCACTTGAGAAAACACCCTGTAGCAGAAGGTCCCTTTTAAACTTGTTCCATCGGCGTACAGTTGAGTTGACTGGCCTTGAATGATGAAACCACCGTGCATCAACCTTGGGGATCCGTTCAAATCTACCAGAGACCCCCTTTTCTCAGGCCCATGAGGTGCCACTTGCGACGTTTGTTCTGCCAGCGCGTGGGAGGGGTGCTGGGTGATTCAGGTGACAGGTCGCTGACGGGTTCCACGTTTTGCAATGTGCAGTTTCCCCTGAAATGCTGCAAGTGAAAGAGCCCGTCGGGGGCTCGGTCAATTTTCACACCTGCAAGCCTGTTGTAAACTCTTGATAAATCTGATCACATACAAACTTGGGTATCTGAAAACACGGGCCCCCGCGTAACATGGTTTGTTTCCTTTTGGCTTCCGTTTTGGTACTGCAAGGGAGTCCAACATTCTGAGAAGCTCTGTGATCTGGGCACGGAAAAGTTTCCATGTCCACAGGTGGTCACTATGGTAACCCCGTGCCCCCAATTTCAAGGCAAGCTCAATCCAAACAGCAACCTTCCTGCATCGCTTGTCCAGGTCCCTAACAGGAAAGCCGACTGCTTCGCTTTGCTTCGCGCTTCACCCTAAAAGGACCCTATACCCACAAGACCCTTTAACATCCCTCGCTGGCTTGCGATCCTCGAACTCGGCGCCTGCTTGCTCTAGATTCACGCTCCCCACCGCGGTCGTCTCTTGCGAGATGACGGGGGGGCCCTGACCAGTGGCTGGGTAGAACATGATCCCGCACTTCAGGAGGTGTCTTGCTTGTTCCCCTGCTGGACAAAAGACACATGCTCACAAACACTTGATCGACCCCTTGTCGCCTTGCAGCTTGCCTCCTGCATCAAAAAAATCAAAGATGTGGACAAGGCCAACTGTGGACTGCCTGCTCGTTGCCCCTGATTTGGTCCATAGTCTTCGATGCTTAATTGCTGAATCTGGCGAATTTCGAAAGCTCCTAGTTTCAAACAATTGCAAGTGCAATTGATCTTGTCCCTCAAATGCTTGCCTCCAGAATCCTACTCACATATGTCTCTCATGATCAGCCGAGTTTGGTGTCGCTTCTCTGCAATCTTGCAGCAAACCATGTCATGCCCACAGACTAAGCAAAGTACTGCCATCGTGATACATGATGTGCACAAGTGCTTTTCTCATAATAGGGATCCCTTTTTGCCTGGTAAACAATGGAAACGGAGAGAAAAACAGCTACGTGGGTCATAAAGCTCGAGAAACGCGTGCGAAGCTGGTGATATCTTCAAGGAGGTGCACTCTCACCTTTTAGCCCCCTCTCCCCCGCGCAAAAGAAACTAACATGGGTCTGTGCTTATGTTGAGGGTACCCTGTTGGCGGTTGTTTTTTAAGAAACCACCCAACTTCAGGGTTCCTATTATAGTAAAAAAAGCTTCGCTCACAGCACACATCAAACACCATTTGATACGGGAGGTAAGCCCTTTTAGTGGAGACGTGGCCTGCGGGTTTCCCCCAATGACAAGAAATTGCCGCTCGAAGCCTGAATTATTGGCTCAAGTCGGCTCAGCCATACTCCTAGCCCAGCAGGAATGCATGGAATCTGAGGCCGTGCAAAGGGGCTTTGTGCAGGGCTTCAACATAACTCAGCATCCCTCCAATTGGTGGTTTGGATTGGTGGTTTGGAGGTGGTCCGGGGGTTGTTTCCTATTTACCCTCTACAAAAGCCAGGGGTGCAAATCCCCAGAACCACCAATCCAAACCGCCAATCCAAATCCTGAGGAGCTCGTCTTGGACACATAGATGACAGTGGTAAGAGACTAGAACCAAACAAGGGAAACAAACGCCATCTATCTCAAGGAAACTGACCTAAAAAATGACGCCAGTGGGCACCAGTTCACAGACGCTTGGTCCCATTTGGGGCTTCGTCCATGGTGCCAATCGGCGTGGGTTTCGTCCATCCAAAGATTGTTTCCCTCCCCCCCCCCCCCAAAGCAAATAACCACCAACTAAAAGGGCCGTGCCGTGCCCCCTTTGCTGGTTTGAAAGGAAAACCAGAAGGAACACCCTTGCGCCATTTTGGAGCTCTTAAAAAAAGGGGAGAATAAAACAAGCCAATCGAACATTGTCCAAAAGCTGGCCTGGCACCGCAAGAGCCCGTGGAGCCCGGCATCTGGCAGCTTTAGCCTCGCGTCTCTCGCGCTTGTTTCCCCCCACTGGACCCGACGAGGGTGTCGTTTTTACTGGGACCCCCCCCAAAAAAAAAACACACACACACACCGCAAAAAGTTGGTTTCCTGTGATGTTCCTCTGAAAACGAACCGAAAAGGGCGACCTTCAATAAACGACCCACCCATGTGGGGCATAATCAAAAGCTGACACCCTTCCTCCCACTGTAGGAGGGTACCTGGAAGACCAGTTTCCGCTTGAGACCCCCGTCAGATGCCATGTTAGCGGGAGGGATGGTATTCAGGTGGTCTACCCAGAACCATGTCAAGAATTACAAAGGCGGCTGCACCCATTTATGGCTAGGACTGTCCCTTACCAACCTTCATCTACCCGGGCACTTTGTGTCAGGTTGGCACTTTCACCCACCAATCCATGTAATTTTCCAACAATTAGGGTAGCCTGAAAAGAAAGGACATGACAACCCCAAACAATACCGGGAGCACTCAATTTCAGCAGTACAGCCTTAAGATGGCCCTTCAAATCAAGAGATCCAGAGTCTCTGTTGAATTTTTGCGCACGTGATAGTGACAACTCCGTCCGGTGTTTTGCCCTGGCTGGTGCTGGTCAAGAGCAATCCGTGACTCCGGCCATCGACTAGTTTAGTTGCCCTGGTGGCTGCAAGAGCCCGTGGTATGGGATTTGAAGGAATACCTCTAGCTCGTATGACTTGTACGAGTACAAAGAGACCTGCAAGCTCCATAGCTCCAAAGCAAATGCTAGCTGGTTGATGACCATCCAGCTTTCAATCCCAAACGACCTTCACTTTGGGTGACGCCGCAACCCCGGCATGTGAGGTGGCCCTGGGTCAAAATCCCGTACCTTTCAGTGAACATCCCGATCCCAACTAAAATGGGTTCTAAAATGGGTGGTGAATTCACCTACCCCAAAATGGGATCCCATTGGTTTTGACAACCACAGCCATATGACTTGCTGCTGCGATAGGCAGTGAATGAAAATTGGAATGGCCCTCATACACCATCCAACCGGTGGTTTCCATCCAACTGGTGGTTCCCACAGCCAAGAAACCATTTCCCCAGATCCAAGGGGCGGCAGCATGCGGCTGCGCTTGGCGCTCGGCTCCGGCGCTTCCTCGGAATTCAGCTCCAAATCCCCCGAAAATGGGGCGGTCATCCCCCCCAAAAAAAATAAACAAGACGCCCCCCAGAAGGGTGAAGCAAGGACACCCCCTAAAAAATATGGAGAAAAAACAACGCCATGGTTTTCACTTGGGCCTTCTAAACCCAGCAAAGATTCGGCTCGTAAAGGGTCTATCTACCAATAGCTGGGCGCTCCACCTCCTGAAGTGCACCGTCCTCCTCGCACTCCATGTCGTCAAACCCAGCGTGCGAGACCTAGCGAGGAGGGGAAACATCTAGGGCCCCCCACCTGCCCTCGAGGGTTCTCAGAACCATCCTTTTAGTGGTTCTCTCAAGGTTTCTGAGAAGATTTCTGGCAGTTGTGGCACTCAGGTTTCCTGTAGTTCAGATGCTTTCAGGGGAAAACGAAAACTATCCTCTCACAATTTGTCTCTTGTATGTTATGCCATGTTCCAACAATCGCATCACCATTCCAAAGAAGCGACATACTGTGATTGCCAGCGTGGAGCTTCCAGCACCGAATGGCACGGTTTGCCAGCTTTGGTTCTCCGCTAGGAAAGAGTGCTGTTGACATGTCAATTGGTTTTTTTTGGTGAATTGTTGCAGCCGGGGGGCAAATCATTTCATGAGGCAGTGCGAGCATTCACCCAACGAAGCCGTTCACACTCAAGGCTGCTTCCTTTTCGTCTTCCTTTGAACTCATCCAAGAAGGGCGTCTCTGGTTGAAACCGCCCCCCCATGCCAACCTGGAGTTTCCATGATTCAAAACTGGAGCCACCTCTTCCTTTTGCGTAGGCATGACCCCATTCTTTTGGGTAACCCCATTTTTGCAGGGTCATGTCGGCCTCCCTCTAGTTGGCGGTTTGGAGCCCGGTGGAGCTTTGGGGGATGGTGTCACATCTCCACAAAAAAGCCAGCGGCTCAGATTTCCCCATCCACCCCCCCAATCCAAACCAGCGATGGAATCGCTCAGTAAAAAACACCGACTAGTTCCTTCAGCAGAGAGGTTGGAATACCCTTTTTTCTGTAGTCTACTTTAGTAGGGGAACCCTCCCAACCAAAAAAGAAACGGTGAGAAAGGGCCCCAAGCTGGGGGACCAAACTACCGCCCTCCCCGCCGGCGTTTGAAACGCCTCCAGGCCCAGCGAGATGCCATCCCGCCAGAGCTGCACCAGCGCGCGCGCGCAGACCTCGGGAGCTTCGGCCAGGCGCATCCGCGGAAACGGTCCGGGGGCTCGGCGGCGTCCCTGTGGGGGGACCCATCAGAAACCATCCCCCAAAAGGGTCCCCTCACAAAAATACGCCGCCGGAAAAGAAGTGCCTTTAAAAAGGGGGGCCTTGAAACTATCCCCCAAAAACAAGACACCAGATAATGCAGGTGTCTTCAAATGGGGACCGACACCCGCGGCAGTTTTAGAGGGACACCAAGACACAAAGCAGTTGTAACATGCATTGTGTTGCAAGGACCACGCCTGTCATTCATGTTCTCTACGCCTGAAACATGCAATAATCGCAACGGCTATACTTTGTGTGTGAGTGTTGTAGGACGCCTTGCCAACAGGCTGTCAACGTGTACACGTCGCATGCAAAGTTCCCAGCATTCCGGCGTTCAAACCGGTCAGCCCGCATTTGGATCCAAGTCCTTCTGAGCGACCTCCAAGCTCCTCGCCAAGGTGTGCAAAGGTCAAAAGCTTAGCTTGCTGCATCGTCAATTGCAAGATCTCGTCGGAACCTGACAAAGACATAACATCATACAATACTCCAAGTTCTGAGCTGCCAACCAATTCGTACAAATACATCAGTATCAGATCATGTCGCTGCCCTTTCAACACATGCCTCAGCCCGTTGCTCAGTTTGCCGTTCCAGGACCAAACCCGAGCTTCCGTGTACGCTCACAAGAATTCCTCGAATCCCTGGCCTGCATGCCAAACTACGACTCAGTGTCCGGAAACTGGGATTCCGGAAAGCACATCTGACAATCCCTTCAGTTTCAGGCTTCTTTTGGTTGCCTGGGTCTGGCTTTTTTCAACGGAACCCCCAAAATGCTGGTTTTTCTTTCGGTGTCCCTTCAAACCGACCCCAAAACGAGTAGCAACTCAAACAAAAGATACGACCACCTGCGAGAGCGAAATGGCATCACTGGATGCGCGGGGCTCTGTCTTCAAGGCCCGCGCAGGAACGCCCTCTGGCGTTCTCGCCTCGGACGTTGCAGCTGAACAGGATTCGCTGTTATGGGGTTATGTGGGTTATGTGGGTTATGGGGTTGTGGGGTTGTGGGGTTGTGGGGTTATGGTTGTGGGCTACGGGGTTTGTGGGATTGTGGAGTTATGAGGTTATGGGGTTGTGGAGATATGGGGGGTTGGGGTTGTGAGGTTTTGGGGTAGTGGGGTTGTGGGGTTGTGGGGTTCTGGCTGGATGTCTGTATAAACTTGATTCCCCCAAGTTACAGCCACCGGTCTCCGGAACCGATCCGAATTGGCTGCTGGGAGTGGGGACCCTTCGACATCCTTTAGGTTAGGATTTATATGGACAACCACTTTTGCGGGGTTTCCTTCGTTATCATAAAGTTCATGGCCATATGAGTTACTTACGGTTTGCACACCTTGAGGTACATACCAAATGGAGAGGGGGTGGCCAATCCGATTGTCCATCCCTACTGTGGATGGACGAACTCCTGCAGTACCCAAGAAACCCTGGACTGATTCCCCTGCAAACACCGTAACAAACGCTATGGTTTCATTCCCATGGCTTCAAAGTGGTGCGAAATGGATTTCGCAACCATCCACAGTATGAAACTTGCGGAACCCAAGGCAGGCGGGCCACCAGCTCTCGATGCCCGCCTCGGCAAACGCGGAGAAGGACAGGAAGCCGTCCGTCAAGCCCACCAGGCTCTCGATGCTGGCGCTAAAAAAAAGAAGAAAATCATGGCAAGATCCATGCAGCAGCTACATTAATCACACCAAGCAAACTAGATTTACCCTCCCACCAACTAACATGGAAGCGCAAAAGGCCCTTTCCAAGAGGAAAGTAGTCTTTCTACAGGGGTCTGTGCACTTAGCTGGGGGGAGGGTAGTAGCTTGGCTTCTTGTGCTGACCGTGTAATGAAATCCAATGTCACCCAAGTGCCTGATGTTTCTTGGGCATGGCCACAGGGCGAGTCCGGACCACCTTGCTTTGAAGTTGCCTAATATGAGCAGCACAGTAGAAGGCCTGTGTCTGGAATCCCCATGCCACCAAGGGGTACAAAAATGGCACAGCATTCAAGTTGTTCACACCGGCACAACATGGATGGCAGACTTTCCTCGCATTTAGGGCCACGCTTTCCGCTCGAGCACCCACCCGAATTCCAAAATCAAGCGCCAGCTGCACGTCCAGTCTGAGGGGGAGATAGTGCCCTCAAGACCTCGCCAAGCCCAAGATCATGGGGTCACCTGCATGAGCCCCCAAAAGGGGTCCCCCAAAAGTAATGTGCTCTTTGCTCAAATGGTACCTAAAAAGCGCTATTTAAACTCTTTTTGCCACATAAATGGACATTGCTCAAATAGTGACTAAAAAGCTAGATTTGCTACATTTTCTCTGGGCACATGAACCTTGATGCTGCCACTTCATGTTCAAGGTCAGCAGTTTATCATCTGGGGCAATGGACAATTGGCATGATGACCCAAATGCTACTCAAATACTCCAAAACACATCCTAATTTGAAGATTTTGGTCGAATCTGCTCAAATGCTGCTCAAATGCTGCTCAAATGCTCCTGAAATGCTGCTCAAATACTCCAAAACACATCCTAATTTGAAGGTTTTGGTCGAATCTGCTCAAATGCTGCTCAAATGCTGCTCAAATGCTACTCAAATGCTACTCAAATGCTACTCAAATGCTACTCAAATATTACAAAACACATCCTAATTTGAAGGTGGTGGTCGAATCTGCTCAAATGCTACTCAAATGCTGCTCAAATGCTACTCAAATGCTACTCAAATGCTACTCAAATGCTACTCAAATGCTACTCAAATACTCCAAAACACATCCTAATTTGAAGGTGTTGGTCGAATTCCACGAAAAACCTTTAAATTAGGTGTCCCAGGGTATACCAACCCCCACTCAATCATAGGATCCAGTCATGGGTTCCCAATGTTTACCCCTCCCCCCACTCAATGTGCAGTTTTACTGCTTTTAAGCGCTTAACTGTTGGGGGACGCTTTTGCGGACTCATGGCAGGGACCCTATGACAAGAGAGTGGTTTTCCATGGGGTGCTAGAGAAAGCAGGGGCACATAAAAGGCGCCCGGCATCCAGCAAAAACATGTGTTGATTCTTAAGAGCCAGCTTTTGAGTCAGGGGTGATGGTGGGTTGCCCCACTATTTTTTGCGGAACTGCTCTTCTGCTTGAAGGACACACGCTGGGCAGTCACTGTGACACCCCACAAAACATGCGCAGGGTGCCATCTTTGGATTAGCAAGTAAATGTCATTTCCCCTTGTGGGGACCCAGGAGTAGGACTGCGCAGCCACCGGGCGAGATTCGTGCTCAACCGGGAAGATCACTGAAGTCAAGTCCAACATGGCAACCTGTCAGGTTCAGTTCATCTGTCCTAAACAAAAATGCAGAATCTGCCTCTAAGACCCTCATCTCTGAACGGACAATGGTATCCCAAAACTGCACTGCGCTGAGCAAAAACTACGAGGATGAAATGGGTGTGTATCAAAATAGGAATCGTCCCTCAAAGTGAGTGGTGTCCTTTTAGTTTCCTTTTAAACCACCCCGTAACAGGGTACCAACTCACAAAAGGACCAGCCACCCAAGTGCCTTAAACCATGGGTCAGTCGAGCTACCTTCCTTCGGTGGCACTCTGAGTCCAAACAATGTGAAGGCACCGTTACCCCAAAAGAAAAACGGGCCATTTAGGGGTCCCCTATTTTGACACAAATAAACATCTAGATGTATATGACGTATATACATGTATTTTTGATACCCTCAAAGGACCCCTTTTGTGAGTGCATATAAACATAGATCTGTATATAGCAAGAACGGACTCCTTGTGAAACATAAGGACAACCAATACCTGAGGTTTGGGCCACATGGCATCAGCGCTCCGCCTGCCAGCGGTTCGTAAAATGATTTGACTCGCGGATCCACACCTCTCACCAACCCCCAGTGGCGACAAGTAGAAATAGGCCCCCGTCGGATATCAAAAAAGGGCACCCCTGGAAGTCTGCTTTTCTCTCTCTCTTTATTTTTTCTTACGCTTGTGTTGTCTTTCCGTATTTCTTGTTGTTTCCGTTCTTTTTCATTTTTCTGTGTTCTGTTCTTTTTTTCATTTATGTTGTTTTACTTGTTTCTGTCTTTCTGTATTTCTTTCTTTCTTTTGTTCTTTCTTTGTTTCTTTCGTTCTTTCTTTATTTCTGTCTTTCTTTTTTTCTTTATTTCTATTCTTTCTTTATTTATTTCTTTCTTTCTTTCGTTTTGTCTTCATTTTCTTTATTTCCTTCTTTCTTTCTTTCTTCCTTCCTTTTTTTTATTTCTTTTTTATTTATTTCTATTCTTTATTTCCTTCCTTCTTTCTGTCTTTCTTTCTTTCGTTCTTTCTTCATTTTCTTTATTTCCTTCTTTCTTTTTCTTCCTTCCTTTATTTCATTCTTTCTTTCTTTCTTCCTTCCTTTATTTCATTCTTTCTTTATTTATTTCTATTCTTTCTTTCCTTCCTTCTTTCTTTCTTTCCTTTCTTTTCTTTCTTTCTTTCTTTCTTTCTTTCTTTCTTTCTTTCCTTTCTTTTCTTTCTTTCTTTCTTTCTTTCTTTCTTTCTTTCTTTCTTGCTCTCCTTCTTTCTTTCTTTCTTTCTTTCTTTCTTGCTTTCTTTCTTTCTTTCTTTCTTTCTTTCTTTCTTTCTTTCTTTCTTTCTTTCTTTCTTTCTTTCTTTCTTTCTTTCTTTCTTTCTTTCTTTCTTTCTTTCTTTCTTTCCCTCCTCTCTCTCTCTCTCTCTCTCTCTCTCTCTCTCTCTCTCTCTCTCTCTCTCGCAAACTGGGGGCTGTCCTGACAACACACTCTCGCCACAACTGGCTGAAGCCAGCAAACGGAATAGGGTGGTCAATGGATAACGGAGAGGTCACCAATTTTTCGGGGTAAACCGACGGCGGGAGATGAAGCGCGCAAGCACTGCAAGTTCGGCTGGCATGTCCCAGCTTCCGAGGGTACATAAGTGAAACGATCTTGTTCCAATCCTGTCACCCGGAAGTTTGTCAGAATGGGATTCGGACAGCGTTTTAGTCGGCGGACTTATAAGGAAACCAAACGAAAACAGCTGCAAAAGGAAACCTCCAAATATGAGAAACAAACACTGCACGCGCGCCTTCTGGCAGCCTCTCAGGCCCGGCGCTGCTTTTCCAGGAGATCACACGGCAGCCCGGTAGCGAGACCTCAAGAAGTCTCGAGATTCACATTGAGTGTCTGGGTGTGTCTAAAAATCAGGAAACCCCCAACAAGGTGGCCCAGAAACCGCGAAAACTACGTTACTTTCGAACGACCCCCGCCTAAGAAAACGCGCTTGGCTACACTAGACTGCAACCACGCCGGCACCAAAAAGTCAATCCGACTGCGTGCGGGGCGCTGGAAAACGTAACAGCAAACAAACTCAGTCAAACCAAAATGGAACTCCGACTCTTTCGAGGCGCCGCATCATCTGTAGCCCCAAGATCCAACCACATGGGCTGATAGCAGCTGAAAATCAACTGAATGTGCCACAGGCTGCCAAAACCAAAATAGTCTAAGCGCTCACTCTTCTCATCCTGGATCTTGTGGCTCAGCATAGCTTCGCCGCACGCCTTTTTTTCCGGTGTGAGAAGCGCGCAGTCTCTAGGTTTTAATCACACACTCCAGGTGCCTGGGCCTTTGTCAACAAAGAGCCAACGGAACGAAAGCTCCCGGAAGGCGGCGTAACATGTCGTGAAATCTGATCGGGGCGCTTGCAAACCTGGTTCTAGAAAAGACACTTTATTCGCAGCCTGAACTAATCTGCGTGTCATTGCTTGCTTGATCTGGCTTCGGCCCACGCCTGAGTCTTCGGGCGTCGCAGTTGTCCGGGCAATGTGGGTTGCCTGGTTGCGCCAGGAATAGCAATCTTGGACAGCGTCTGCCCCGGATTGGTAGCATTAGAACACCACTACCCCCATCGTCCGGTTGAGAAACAGCAGGGCGCTGAAAGGGCAATCGGAAGCTGCGTAAGTTCTGAACAATTGCGCTGGCGGCGAAGAGCATTCTCCTCATGAGCAACTGCGATGAAAACAAAAACATGAGGCGCCATGGCGTGCTTCCACCATATGCACAACAAACTGGCAAAAGAAGTGGCAAAATCCTCGCTCCGCTGGTGGGTCCAACTCTGGCAAACTCCTGATCTGCTGGCGGCAGGACTCAAGGACAGGTGCCATGATTTGGGGGAAAAAAGTAGCCAGACCCTCTGCTTTTGCGCCAGCTGTTTCCGCCTTGTCTGGTGTGTAACAGCACAGCCTCGATCACAGACAGGCTGGTCATCCACCTGCCAGGCTTGCCACTCACGCAGGCTCGTTGAATGGCTTGGCTGCCAGGATGGAGAAACAGCTTGCTCGTCTGGCATGTTCGCAACTGTCTCTGAGAACGCTTGCAGCGCCTGCATCACCTGGGCGTCGGGCTTGCGCTTGCCGACACGCAAGGCGTTCCACCCGGCCGCCGTTTCTGTCAACACAAAGTTTGCCACATGTACACTTTCGCGTCAGCCTCACGGCGCGCGCCTGGTTCCAGCAGCTGCAGACATGGTCCCTTCAAGAAACTCCAAGTCCAAGTCCGGAGCTTTTTACACATGCCGCTCATGGGTGCGAAGCACTGTGGCAGCAGCCATGGCTTGGCAGTGGCGCATGCTGCAGAGATTTGGCTTCCGCCACGAAAACATGCCAACCCTTTTTGAGAATATCCTAGCTATCGACCAGAAGCAGCCTCCTCTTCTCGTTTTGTTAGCTTGGATGTTTTGCGCCCTCCCTTTTGTTGTCTGCTGATGGCTGAGTTGTTGCGAGGGAGTGAGGGAGTGAGGGAGTGCGAGGGAGTGAGGGAGTGAGGGAGTGAGGGAGAGAGGGAGTGAGGGAGTGAGGGAGTGAGGTGAAGGAGTGACTCAGCTGTCCTGGCCCGGCCACTGGCAGACCTCAAGCTCTGGGCTGTCTGTGAGTCCGTCAGGCTCTGTCACTCCTTTCTATCACATCTGGCTGTCACAGGCTCCGTCGCAGCTCTGTCGGCGGGCGGGCTGGTTGCGGCCAAAACCCAACAACCCCAAAAGCGTCAGGTGGGGATATGCAGACCCTGAAATATATATATATATATACATATCGACAACCCCCTGTTTCGGGGTTCCATTTGTTTTTGCAGAGAACCATCAACCCGGAGACTCCTTTCCCTTCCCCTCGCACCTCCCACAAATTCCGTGCACAGACCCTCCTTCTGAACGTTTTCAGGAAGGTTCAGGCCTCAAGGAGACAGGAAATGAAACACGCAACACCCACTAGGTCCATGGGAGATGCTTTTTTTACAGCAGTTTGAAAAGACACTACTTTCATTTGGTCAAAGGAAGAGGACCACGACTTCCTCTGTTCCTATTCCGGGATGCGAGTGTATTGTGAACCGAACCCTTAAGGCAACATCCTCCCTCCTGCGGATCTTGTAAATGGTGGTTCAAAGGGGAACCACGCCCAAAGGTAACTTAGAGAGCCCCTCAAATGATTCAGAGACCCTTCCCCCATACAATATACGAGGATCCTCACAGACCGTGATGTCACCTCGCACATAAGCCCACGTGCAAATGCTGTCCACCAACTGGCCTCAATTCATCAATTTAGCAAATCACAGCAAGGTGGCCTTGACTCTTGGCGGGCTCCCCCTCAGTATGTGTGTGTGTGTGTGTCTTCTTGGAGTTGGTGCTCCGTTTTAGCAAGCTTGAAGGGGAAGCCAAAAGAAAACCCACCATTTAGTGGGCCTTATATCCCCCAACTAATGATCCCCAGCAAATGGATTGGGGCAGTAGTTCCTGCATGGTTACCTAGTTCCTTTTTCTTCTTCTACAACAAATCGAGTGGGGCAGTAGTTCCTGCATGGTTACCTACACTAAACTGGGCGATTTTATCAGAATCTGATAAAATGGGATGGTTTCCTTTTTGCAGGAATCCGAACCCCCCCTTAAGCAAAGCAGCGGGGTCTTGCTCTTGGTCTCCCTCTAGAACCGCCCAGCTCCAAGAGGGACCCCGAGCCGCCAAAAGGCGCCGCGCCTGGCACGTGGCGCCCTCGGGATGGCTCAGCGTGGCCATGGGCGCCCCATCCTCGGCAGGGCCTCTCACCCATCTAGGTGGCGTGTTGATACTGTGGATGGTTGCGAAATTCATTTCGCACCACTACCACTTTGAAACCATGGGAAGCCATTTTTTCGTTGGTATTTACAGGCAAATCATCATTCTAGGGTTTTCGTCCATCCACAGTATGGCTGTGGTGGTCAAAACCAATGGTACCCCTGGTGAACATCAAAATAGGTGGTACATAGGTGTTCATCCGCCCCAAAATGGAGGAATAGGTTGTGACCAAAACCGTTTTGGGATCCCATTTTGGGGTAGGTGAATTCACCACCCATTTTAGAACCTATTTTAGTGGGGATTGAGATGTTCAGTGGGGAAACGGGAGTTTGACCCATGGCCATGTCTACCCTCGGTGCTTTTGCCCATTCTGGGTGGGAAGGGGGTCGGGGGTGGGGTGCAGGGCGGGGGGGGGGTGTTAACGTTCGTTCACACATCAGCTTGGGCGTGTTTCTGGAGGTGCCGTTTTTGAATTGTAGGACGTTTCTAAAGGTTCGCGAAAGTGATGGGGTTCCTTTTGCCCCTTTGAACCAAGCCCAAAACGGGTTCCCCCAATTGCAAGCACCATAACAGACCCAAATTAGAGAGAAGCTGAGTGTAGGTGTGTTAATTGGTAAGGGAGGGGCCCGTGCGTCCATGAGACTAGTCCCTCAACTCAAAGCCTCAGCCTCGCGCGTCAAAACGCGGCAGAAGCAAACCGTCACCCGCAGCAAGGCTTTGAAGCGCCGCGTGACGCGTGACCGAGGTGTGCTCGGGCTGGCTGTCGAGGTGCCCACGTCAACTGGCCAGGGCGCAGCTGCTCATGCAAACCTCCGCGCAGACGGCTGGCAGCCTGCGCCGCAACTCGTCCTCCGCAAGAAACCAAGGTCTGCGGGCAAGAGCTTGCAGCACGATCTTTGCCGCTGCATCTCCGCGGTGATCAGCACCGGAGAATGGCGCCTCCAGAAATGCGTCCGCAAGGGCCCCTGCAACGCTGCAGACCCGCCCGCATCCTATTCCCAGCGGCTGCTCATGGCGAGCAAGCGCACTGCCCAGCGAAACTCCGTCGCAACTGAGGGGAAGTTCGGTTGCGAATCCTGTGACTGCTGTGCGCTCTGTGGGTTTTGAAGAGAAACCTAAAAGAAACTGGTGGGGCAAAAGGAGCTACCCTCTTTCAACAAATCGCAGACGAACGGAGGCCTTTTTCGCCATTTGTAAACTTAGTGGCTGACAACCCCTCTGTTGAACTTGCACCAACAGCTGATGGACAAGTTTCTTTTTGTGCATTTCGACAACTGCTGCTTTGGTGGTGCCTCTTGATGACAAACCGTGATTGCCAGCCGAGGAGGCTCGTACCTGGAAACGAGAGTGTGGGCGCGGGCCTCCATAAGAGCTCCCATATGAGCTGGGTCCACGCGCGTATCAGAGGCCGCTACTGTGGATTCTTAGAAGCTGGTGGGGCAGCCAAGTCTTTCGGAAATGCATCCAAGTCAAGGAATGCATCAACCCCTTTAAAGTTCCCCAAGAGAGCCAGCTTAGTGCCCGGAAAGGAGTTGCTCTTGTGTCGCTTTCCAAAATGTGTGTTTGTGTGAGTGTGCGCGTGGGTTTTCTTTGAGGGTACCCTTTTCAGCTTGGCCTAAAAAGCAACCAACAGAAAACAACAATCTTGGGAGTCGCCATATTTTGACACACACCCTGACACAAAGCATCTACGTTTTCCTACAAAACAAGGCTCCCCAAAAAGTATATCCTTATAACCCCCCCCCCCCCCCCCCCCCCCCCCCCCACCCACCTCCAAAGAAAACAAACACACCTACGATTGTGGTATGGCTCAAACTTTACCCTTTTCCGCACAAAAAAAAAGAAAAGCCGGGTTTCAGTCCACTTTTTCCCAGTTGATCAGTGTTTTTCCATTTTGGGCATCGACTCCCCGCCAAAGAAGGATCCATCGGCTGAGGCTGCGGCCGGGCCCAGCGACACCGCCACGTTGCCCGCCTCGGGCGGGTGGCTCGTGTTGTTCCTTGGAGTTGGTACTCCTTGGTGGGGGGAAGCCAAAACCTAGAGGGTCCCAAGTACTTGACGAGGATGGCTTGTGGGGGAGAAAAAGGGGTCGTTCAGTACCTCCTTAGAAGGTACTTAGACCCTCTGGGAAAGGACAACCTGTTTGTTTGTTTCTCTTTTCTTTGTTTTTTTTGGGGGGGGTCGGGTTGGGTCAGGCCTTCTAAAAAAGACACACACACACACACACACACATCGTGAGGTTCCTAGGATCAGCGACCCCAGTTTAGGGAGACCCAATTGGAAGCGGATGCTTGGAGGGTGTTCCCACTTTTTTGGTAGGCAACCATGGGGGAGCTAACCCTACACTAATCCATCTGTTGATGAGATAATAGCTGGGGCCAAGCAACAGTGAAACTATCCGCCTTCAGATCAGCATGGAAAAAGATCGTATCCGAAAGGAGACTCCTAAGCAAATGACACTTGCTTGGGTTCCATGTCAATCTGCAGGTGAATGAACCACTGTGGATGGACCAAATACTCTTCGCACTGGGCGGGATGCACGAAACAATAAAACACCGATATACCAAGTGGTATTCAAACAGTATTGCCATGTATTGCCCATCCACAGCACAGTTGAAACCAAGCTCTTGGGAATTCTCAAATGAGTGAGCGCTGACGCAGCCTTAGTCATTAACAAACTTTTAAGAGGACAACACGCGTGCGATGTGAACTGCGAAGCTGGGTCATCCAAGCTGCTCCTTTGTGGTTGGATCCTTTCCGTGTGGACTGATTCCCGGTACCAAAAGTGTGGCTCCCGACCAACAGCGTCTCCGGCTGAGGTGGCATGGCGACAAGAAGTTGGACTGGAGCCCGGATGTCTATGAGCTCGAGCCTACGATGATTCCTCACTGCTGGGTGACACGACAACTTTTGTCTTGCTTGGGCTGAAAGTTCGATTCCTGTCGGCACGAGCTGCTGTGGCTGTGATTACAGAAGTAGCCGCCGCCTTTTGATTCTGAGATTCGTTATATTTTTCGTGGGAAGCAGTCTCCCAACTGCTTCCCCTTGACTCAGAGCCGGCGCTGAAAGCTACAGTCTTCAGATCTCAGCTTCGAAGCATCCTGCACAACCTCCAAAACGGGTGCCGCCCTTTGCGCTTTGCCCTAAAAGGACCCCCAAAAGGGGTATCCTCAAAAGAACACACCCATGTCTGAAACATCAGTTTCTCAAAGGACGTAGGACGAGCAGCAACCTCAGGCCCGTCCGCAAGTGACAGCCCGTCACCAAACTGCACGGCAAAAAGTTTATGTTCTGACACACACACACACACACAGAGACCCATACCTCAGTTGTTCAGTGACCCTGGAACAAAGGAACCCTTTTTGGGGAAGACAATTTTTAGTGGGGCAGCCACCCCAAAAAAAAGGGAAAAGGGTGCCACTGCACAACTGAGATACATACAAACGCAAGTGAACAGCTACATAGATAAACGCTTGGGAGATCAAAGTGGTGTTTTCAAATTTCTCTAGTAGGCTGATTCTGGGTTCCTTCCACGGCCAGGCTTAGTAGTTGCGCATTCAATATTGTCACTTTGGATTGAACGCAGTTATTTCGGCGTGTGCATGCTCTTTTTGGTGTGCCCCCAGTGTTTTGGCAAGAAGCACCACTGATGTTGCCACGGTGCCGCCGTGAAACACGGAAACATGCACTCTGTGTGTGTGCCACATGTCTGCAGCTTCTTTTGCCCATCAGCCCGCATTCTTCGAGGGATCCTCATTGGGCCGAATGGCCTCGCAGCAACAAACGATCACGGGACCCCCCATCCCGAAATTCCCCTATGGCTGGATAGACTCTGCTCGGACCATGTGTGGGGGTGTCTTTTGCTTCAGGGTCCCCGTGTTTTGATGTTTTTGAAGGAAGCGGTTCCCCTAAGAAGGGGCACACCCATGTGGCTGTGAAAGTAACTTGAATCTCTTCAAGATTCCTAAAAACAGAAGCTACAGTACCAGTTGGAACCGGTTCCTGGCTTTGACTCAGTCCAGTGCGCCTGATTCGTTTACCTAGTCAATCCAAGCACCTATGAGCATAAGCAATTTCGCTTGTCAAGACTCACACAGCGGTTGAAACACTCAGATTAAGACTGCTACAGCATCAGGGCTATTCACGGCGGCCGACCGAACGTACTAGCAAATGCAGTAGCATGGCCTTTGTTCTATCTGTCTTCTGATGGTCACAAAACCATGTCCCTCCACATGCTGATGCCGAGACGAACCGGCATGGCATGTTTCATGGTGGCTCTTGCCACTAGAAGCAGATGTGCTGAGAAGATGTCAATGCAGTGAAACAGCCAAGCTCCATTCCCATCTCATTACTCTCTCTCGCGCGCGCACACACACACACACACGTGCGCATACACACATGCAAAATCAGCCACTCCGAGCACCTTGCGTGCCAATTTTGCTCCGCGCTGGACAGAGTGCGGCTACCACCCCATGCGCCCTCTGGGCTGGACGAGGAGAGCCGTGACTTGCCGGAACTCTAAAGCGAAAGTCGGACATGTCAGTCTGACACGCACTGTGATGGTCAATGCTTCGACATGGGAAGGGTTGAGGAAGTTGAAACAAACAAGCAAGCAAGCAAACAAACATACATACACTGCAAGCAAGCAAGCCAGCGAGCAAGCAAGCAAGCAAGCAAGCAAACAAATGCTCTGTACCCAAGAACTGCAGCTTGGCTGCTGTGGGGCACGACGAAGTTCCGCGGGCGAACAGGTCGGCAACATCTAGCTCGCATAGACGTGCCGACTGTTGCTTCCGCTTCCCTCAAGTGCTGTGAGAAGTCTTGGGAAGGCAAAGTCGCCAAGCCAACGTCGGAAGCCAACCCGCTGGCGACTCCACGAGTTCGGTTTCCAGATGCCGTTGGCCATGCACTCGGAGCGGAAGCCCGAACTGCCTGCCGCGGATGCCGCAGATGCCGCACATTTGCTGCTGATGTGACCCACGCCACGCATTTGAACGATGGCTCATCTCAAGGCCAACTCTGAAGGACACATGGAGGAAATCCCTTCGAATTGAAGGAATGATTGACCCTGATTCCATGTGAAAGAGGGCGCCTCCGTTCGCATCAAAGCACTTGCAGCCGTCTCATCGCGCATCGGCCTGAGAGAAACGGGGCCAGGGGGGAACCCCCAGGCACACACAAACAAAAATTCCAAGTTTGACGACACACGATTTTTCGGACGGCAAAACACATGTTCGGTACATTGGGAAGCCACACCCCATGATTACTCGAGCCATGTAAAACTTGCCGGTTCTCAGCAGGGAATGAGCAATGGAAGGACCCAATAGCCCAAGAGGCCATGCTCGCCTTTTCCCAAGAACCGGGAATTCGCTGCGCGTTCTCAAAACACAGCAACCAGGGGACTGGCAAACACAATTTGGGCTTCAGCATCTGCGTAGGTACCCATAACTCAAGCAGATTGAATGGCAAATGGGATCAAGAATGTGTACCTGGATCTTCCTGAGAAAACGAATTCGGAGTTGGTGCTCGAACACATCTGACAAAAGCAACCTCCCCTGTGAAAGTCATGCCTTAAGCTGGATAAGCCGCACACAGGCTGTTTCCCAACAAGTGGTAGGCTCCAGAGTAGGGGCAGTAAGATGAAAACCAGCTCTCGGGTGCTGACGAAAGGAGGGATGTGTGCAAATGCCCGTTACAGTAGCATTACCTATACGGTGTCACATCCATCAAACCATATAGAAAAAGTGGGTTCCCATGCTGTGTGTCAAATCTCAGCACCCCTTGTGGGAAGGTCATGGATCAATATACCCGCCTGTCCACCAACACGGCACCCATCCGAGAAATGGTCCATTTTGAAGTGTTAATCCTGTCCACACCGGAGTTCCATGGCAACTTGGATGGGAAAGCACTACTGTAGACCCCGGATTTTCCATAAACTTCCGAGTCGCAGACACGGCCGATCTCAGGTGCCATGCTCAAAAGATTGCAGGGACGAGGTAGTCAGGCAATGTTGACCCCATAAGAAATCAACCCCTGTTGATTAATATGGGGTGTTCCACTCAAAAAGTGAAGAATCCCCGTTAAAACTAAGGACACCCACATACCTAGAAATAAGAATGCTCCAAAATAATAGCCTTTTCGAAAAAGGAACATGTTTGCATTTCCGGCCAATTTGTTCGCCTTTCGGCCATTCTTCAACTGGCAGTTTGAGCATGATTGTGGCATTGTCTTTGGCGGCTTGTGTCCCATAACTTTCCGCAATTCTCGCGAAATGTCCCGCAATTTCGGCGAAAGTTCCCACAATTCCGGCGAAGCTTTCTGAAGAGGAAACTTGAGTTACGAGTATTATTCTTCTTGAGCCTCAGCGGTCCAATTCCGGCTGTTTTGGCAGATTCCGGCAAATGTTCATGACTTCGGCCGAAATTTGATGCATTTCAGATTCTGGCATAGATTTCAGCCGAAAGAGTGTCTAGGTATTAATAAACATGCGTGTATTAATCCGGGGTCATTACCCATCACTCAACAAGGGTTCCTTTGGACCAAGGCGGACTAAGACCCGATCACAAGTTCACAGGGCATAGGAATCCGAAACCAAAGGAAACCAAAGGAACCGATCTCCTACCCGAAGCATTGTGCTTCAAGTTCAACCCCCGAACCTAGGACCTTAGGATCTTGGATATGTCCTATCATCATTTTCGTCAGCAAAGATGTGAGAAAAAATTACCAATCGTCGTTGAAGCCAGGGCGCTGAGCGCAAGAGCTGCAAACCAAGCACTTGGGTGTCGTGCAGAAGTGGCTGCGCCGGCAAAGAGCCACCGCCATCGCACGCGGCCACTGCAGCCTCGTGATCCCACTTGCTTACGTGTGTCAGACTTGTTTGGACCATGGTTCAACCCCCATGAAAAAAACAGTTGCCCCAATTTGGATGGTGATAATCCTTAGGGAAACAATGGTGGTTATATGATCCCCCGTTGTTCCAATGGTGGTTGGAACCCCATAAATTCCATTGTTTTTTGACATGAAAGGAACGTCTTGATACGGTTTTGAATGTCATATGGCTGTCCATTAAGAGAAAGAATCCCAGGCATACAAAAAACGAATGGACTGAAAGAGCGTGGACGCATATCATTGACGAGGAGTTTGACAATGCTGCCGAAACAGTAGTCTTGAGCAAACCAGAAATCATCTGCTCTGGCATCACAATCTGCTTCGACGCAAGTGTGGTGCGAACTTCGATGCAACCTGGAAGCAAGCAACAATTGCCTGACAGGCACCAGCGGAAATAAATACCTACTTGAAAAGCGGCACTCTTCAACTACAAGCGACCAACACAACACCGACAGACACTTCAGCCAGGTGTCTCCCCTTTCTTAAGAAGCCTCGGCCAGGGTTCTTCTCACCGGCGGTCGGAAAATTCCACCACCCCACTCCCGCCCCCCCCGGGCGCCGAAAACTGGCGCCAAACCGGACGACGACGTCGCGGGCCCTTCAGCGCCTGGTAGGTGACCACGTTTGCCTCCACCCGCAAGCTGCGCATCGTGTGCAGGAGGGTGAGCGCTGGAAGCCATGCCAACGCCTGCTGGCAAGCCTGAGAACCGTTGCTGCAAAGGCAAGGACCCCTGGTGACGTTGAAACCAACCCTGCAAAAAGGGGCATTCACAATGTGACAAGAACCAAACTGAAAATAATATCAGCGCCGTCTAGCAAACTGAGCCAAAAACCAGTTTTGGGGGTTAAGCTGCTCAGCAGAAAACAAAAGCGTAAAGTCAAAACACGTCAAGCGTGTTCAGGATCTCTTCGCGTGTGACATTTCGCTGGGACATGTCTCGACGAGAAGCCAGGATGACGCTACTGAAGGTGATGACGTCAGGGCACATCCCAAAAGTCATCGTTGCCTCAGCTTGCGAGGCAACTGGTGCGAATCATTCCGCGTCTCCGCTCTATCAGCTGGAAACAACCCTTGATCAGCAAGCTGGAACAGGGGGTTGGAAGGTGGGAAGTGCTTGCCGATTCAAATATGGTAAATCATTACACTGAGTGAATATGTGCAAACAAGTGCATAGTTGTAGGCCACACGTAGCCAAGTGATTCCGGATCGCTCTTGGTATGCCACTCTGGACCTAAAAGGTTTCAGCAAACAGACCACCCGATAATCTGTCGCTGGCGACATGTCTGGCTAGTTACTCAGTGACACATTCAGTAGAAAAAACGGACCTTATCATTTTGGAGGTTGACTACTCCGAGTCCCGACTACCCCGAAACAAAAAACGGGTTCTCCAATGAACCAGCGTTGGACCACGCGCCTCCATCCCTGCCAATTGAACATTTCGGGCACCCTAAAAATGGTGGGTGTCCTTCTGGTTTCCCTTTAAACCAACCCCAAATGGAGTGAGCAACTCTCCAAGTGGTCCCCTTTTGGTATGGAAGCCAAAAAGGAAACCTTTGGCAGCTGGAGGAATTGGTCTTTGAGAAACGGCGCCCCTTTTGGAGGGCCAACAGGATGTTTGAAGGCAAACCCTCCTAGGGTTGGTTCCCCGAAACCCACCGGCACCCTCCAAAAACCACCAGCCCCCCGCCGCCGGAGGCGCCAGCAGGGCCAGCCCCAGCTGCCAGGGGCACGTGCTCAATGCGCTGTTCAGGCTCACCACGGTGCAGCGGAGGTCCAGGTCCTCGTCCGGGGCTGGAGGTCTGGAGGCTCCGTATATGTATATACATGTACATATATATATGTGCACATATATATATATGTGTGCATATATATATATATATGGTACCCCCCCCAGTACCCAGGTGTTGTTGCATCATGTATCAAAACCATTGATATTTACCGTGTATTTTGATTGAACTCATGCATTCTCTGCAAGGCCATTTTGTGGACCAAAAAACAAAACACCGCAAAAAAAAAAACACAAGAAACAGAAAACCAATCCTAGCCCCCACCATGGCTGGGATTCTTTGGTTTTTGGCTTTTGTTGGTCCAGGGAAATGTTGCGCAACAAATTCCAAATGTTGCGCAGCATGAGAGGATATGTGAACCTTTGTGAAAGAAGGCATGTTCTGGGTGAGAGGATATGTGAATTTTCTGTAGAGAAGAGTTATTGAAAAAGACATGTTTTGTGTGAGATGAGAAGTGAGTCTTTGTGGAAGAGTCAGGGTTACAGTGATTCATAAACGTACAGCAAAAGACAGTAAATATCATGTAGCACCACCATTTATGTAACACAAACAGTCCCAGCCATAGCCTGGTTTTATTCTACACACAGTTCACTTTCCTTGGCAACTCTTTCACATATGCTGCCTTTGTTTCATTGAAAGAAGACATGTAAAAAGACATGTGCTGGGTCAGAGGATGTGTGAATTTTCTTTGGAAGAGTCTTTGAAACAAGCAATGTGGAAGAGCCTTTTAAAGAAGGCATGGTTTGTGTGGGAAGGTATGTGAGTTGAATTTTGTGTGGAAGAGTCATTGAGAAAGGGCATGGGTTTGGTGAGAGGATATGTGATTCCTTGTGAAAGAAGGCATGCAAAAAGACATGTTTTGGGTGAGAAGATGAAAGAATTGTCTGTAGAGAAGAGTTATTGAAAAGACATGCTTTGTGTGAGATGATATGTAAATGTTCTGTGGAAGAGTCTTTGAAAGAAGGCATGGTTTGTGTGGGAAGATATGTGAATGTTCTGTCGAAGAGCCTTTGAAAAAGGCATGTTTTGGAGAGAGGATATGTGAACCTTTGTGAATGAAGGCATGTAAAATGACATGTTTTGGGTGAGAGGATGGATGAATTTTCTGTAGAGAAGAGTTATTGAAAAGACATGCTTTGTGCGAGATGATGTGTGAATATTCTGTGGAAGAGTCTTTGAAAGAAGGGGGTTGTGTGGGAAGATATGTGAGCTTTCTGTGGAAGAGCCTTTGAAGAATGGCATGTTTTGGTGAGAGGATATGTGAACCTTTGTGAAGACATGTTCTGGGTGAGATGATATGTGAATTTTCTGTAGAGAAGAGTTATTCAAAAAGACATCTTTTGTGTGAGATGATATGTGGGTCTTTGTGGAAGAGTCAGGGTTACAGTGATTCATAAAAGTACAGCAAAAGACAGAAAATATCATGTAACACCACCATTTATGTAACACAAACTGTCCCAGCCATAGCCTGGTTTTATTCTACACAGGGTTCACTTTCCTTGGCAACTCTTTCACATGTGCTGCCTTTGTTTCATTGAAAAAAGACATGTAAAAAGACATGTGTTGGGTGAGAGGATGTGTGAATTTTCTGTGGAAGAGTCTTTGAAACAAGGCATGGTTTGTGTGGGAAGGTATGTGAGTTATCTGTGGAAGAGCCTTTTAAAGAAGGCATGGTTTGTGTGGGAAGATATGTGAATTGAATTTTGTGTGGAAGAGTCATTTGGAAGAGTCATTGAGAAAGGGCATGGGTTTGGTGAGAGGATATGTGGTTCCTTGTGAAAGACGGCATGCAAAAAGACATGTTTTGGGTGAGAAGATGAAAGAATTGTCTGTAGAGAAGGGCTATTGAAAACACATGCTTTGTGTGCAATGAGATGTGAATATTCTGTGGAAGAGTCTTTGAAAGAAGGCATGGTTTGTGTGGGAAGATATGTGAGCTTTCTGTGGAAGAGCCTTTGAACAATGGCATGTTTTGGTGAAGACATGTTCTGGGTGAGAGGATATGTGAATTTTCTGTAGAGAAGAGTCATTGAAAAAGACATCTTTTGTGTGAGATGATATGTGGGTCTTTGTGGAAGAGTCAGGGTTACAGTGATTCATAAAAGTACAGCAAAAGACAGAAAATATCATGTAGCACCACCATTTATGTAACAAAAGCTGTCCCAGCCATAGCCTGGTTTTATTCTACACAGGGTTCCCTTTCCTTAGCAACTCTTTCACATATGCTGCCTTTGTTTCATTGAAAGAAGACATGTAAAAAGACATGTGTTGGGTGAGAGGATGTGTGAAATTTCTGTGGAAGAGTCTTTGAAAGAAGGCATGGTTTGTGTGGGAAGATATGTGAATGTTCTGTGGAAGAGCCTTTGAAAAAGGCATGTTTTGGAGAGAGGATATGTGATTCCTTGTGAAAGAAGGCATGTAAAAAGACATGTTTTGGGTGAGAGGATGAATGGATTTTCTGTAGAGAAGAGTTATTGAAAAGACATGCTTTGTGTGAGATGATATGTGAATATTCTGTGGAAGAGTCTTTGAAAAAGGGGTTTGTGTGGGAAGATATGTGAGCTTTCTGTGGAAGAGCCTTTGAAAAATGGCATGTTTTGGTGAGAGGATATGTGAACCTTTGTGAAAGAAGACATGTTCTGGGTGAGAGGATATGTGAATTTTCTGTAGAGAAGAGTTTTTGAAAAAGACATGTTTTGTGTGAGATGATATCCTGGTTTTATTCTACACAGGGTTCACTTTCCTTGGCAACTCTTTCACATATGCTGCCTTTGTTTCATTGAAAGAAGACGTGTAAAAAGACATGTGTTGGGTGAGAGGATGTGTGAATTTTCTGTGGAAGAGTCTTTGAAACAAGGCATGGCTTGCGTGGGAAGATATGTGAGTTGAATTTTGTGTGGAAGAGCCATTGCAAAAGGGCATGGGTCACGTCCAAGGCGTCTTTCTTCAATGAGACAAACCGGCAAACCTCCTTCCTCTGGTCTCCCAGTGTGCAAATCTGAGCTATTCTTCCTGCCTGCTTCCGCGGTCAAAGCACATCTGAACCAAGCCCAAACCTGGGTACCTGGGCGGGGGGGGGTAGCATATATATATATATATACATACATGTATGTACGATTCTTTTGAAGGTGGCTTGAAAGGGAAGCCATACTTCACAACACGAATTGGTTTGGTTTGGTTTGGTGGCTTGGAGGTTAGAGGTTCCTTCGTTGGCTGTGTTGAAACTCGGAACCCTTGTTAGGGGTTACTTTGAAAGGGACACACAGGGAGCCTGAGTGTAAGACACGCCCGAGCTACTGGGGGCTAGGCCCCACAAGTTGAATGAGGTGGGGACTTTGAAGCCCAATCGAGCAATGATCAATTTAGCCCGGGAAAATTGCGAACGGCCACTAAATAGCCATCTAGAGCAAACTAGTTCCTAATTAGATAACTACGGAGTTTACTATCGAGTCAGTAGATATGTATGTTGCCGTCCACCAACCTGGAACCCAGAGATTCCCATTTAAAGGACATAGTAGGACCCCTCAGTCAGGTCCGCGGGCTTAAGGCTCTCTCCCAAGACTCTGCCAACCAGAACCAGGGGTCACTGGACAAAACTTACAGTTGTCCGGTGGGTTGCAACCAAATTGCCTCTTTTGGATGTCCAACACAGGGAAATTGATCCCCTCTGACCTTCCATGATTCTTGGAATATGTTTGCGTTAAACCACCATTTTAGGGGTCGCCCGGTTCGAGACAAGCCCATTTCTTTCCCTAGCGTTCCCGCCTCGAGTTGTTGTTGTGCACTTGTGCCCGTAATTGACAACCGTCTAAAAAAGGTCTGCACGTGTTGTCCCTTCTTTAGCAGACCCCATGGCTTCTCCTATTTCAGGTGCCCGAAACAAATCGGCCTGAGCTCTCTTGGAGCCCTGAACACTTGCATGCTGGTTCCGCCGGAGAATGACAGCCAAGCCCGTCAACATGAACCCTTCAAAGTAAGCCGGCGGAGGAAACCCTCAAGGCCTAGGACCGACATTCAATGTGTTGGCTTGTCCGAGAAGCCAGCTTTCCTTGACGTAGCCCGGTGTTCACGAAAAAGACCCCCTTGTTGCTTTGGACTATGTTAAATGACCACCCCACCACAACCAACAAGCGCTACAAAACAACTTGGCGGATCCAACTCGCATGATGGAACACAAAGCTTGAAAACCAAGGCAGCTAGGGGTAATGGGAGGGAACCTCGGCCACCTGCCGAACAGGACATGAACCTGCAACCTCCAGCAGCCCTAGGCGGGCGGGCGCGCTGCCATTGCGCCATGGGCCCTTCACAAGTTGCTCCATAAATCGCATTAGCATTTCTTGGATGCCATCATAGGAATCAAGTCGGATGAAAAGTTTGACCAATGTCTTGCCAAACTTCGCACTTGTCGTCAACCCCCGGAAACCCCTAAGAAGGTGAAGCTTGGTATGCCATTCACTTTGCCCTCTTGTGAAACAGTACACGGACAACTTGCAGCAATTCTTTCAAGCGGGCAGGGGAAACAGGTTTATTTACCTGCAGGGCGGCCATTGGCAACATGTTATTTCAGTTGAGATAGTCCATGGCCATATCCGATTTAGTTGCAGATCGAGTACTTGTTTGTTTGTAACTATAACACCTTGTGTCTCTACTCTCTGAGGCATGGGACTTTGTGCTCACGGGATCCCTAAGAAGCACCACCCCATTTCCACCTCAAGCAGAGCAAACCCAAACAGCCATGCCAAGCGGTAGGCGTTCCCTTGCCGGGGAACCTTTCAAAGCGCGTAGCAAAGGTGCCCTTCAGGAAGGGTGCGCTCCCTCTAGTCATGGGAGTCTTTTTTTAGGAATTGGACATCCCCCATAAAAAAGGCATTCGGTATTCCTTTTGGCTTCCCTTTTAAACCGAAAAGGAAGCCGACCCGAGCTCAGGAAAGCAAGCCTCCAAAGGGTTTTGACCCACGAAACAAACACATCTTGCCACCAGCCCTGGGGCCAACTCCGGTCCTCCATGTCTTGCAGCAAGCTCAGGGCCACCCTCCACTTGCCATCCTTGCCCGCGGCGCTGATGGCGCTGTTAAAGCTCACCACGTCGCGCTGCACCCGCGACCCAGTCCTGACCAAAACCCCGGGAAACATCCAGCGACTGTGGGGGGCCGTGGTGCTCGGTGCCTCTTGTCTCACCTCCTGACTGGATTGGTCAGGAAAGTGCCAGAGGTTTGGTCTAACACTCAAATGTTCCCGAAAAGTTTAGAGTATCAATACAAAGTCAGGGAACCAAAAGCTTTGTCCGCCATTCTGAGAGGCACCTCGATACATCCGTGAGCGTCATGGTGCTCACAAAGGGTGGGCATATGGCACACGGTCAAGGCTCAACCCGTCTGGGCACAAAGGGTGCTGTCACCCTTAAAAATGGGAAAAGAAAGGGGCGTGGCCGAGCTTTTGCGGGGTCGTGGAGACTCCAGATAGGTGTGCTCAAGTGGATGGCCAAAATCCGCGCCAGGCGCCAAGTTGGTAGGTGGCTTATCGACCAGTTAGAGGGAACTGAGCATATGGCTTTTTCAAGCTGGGCGTCATTTGCTGCAGGAGGGCCATAGCCATGCCCAGCTGACCTCCCTTGTCACAGGCGCTGATGGCGCAGTTGTAGCCTTCCGACAACGGATGGCTTTCCACGGGCCCTGGAAAATAACATATGTCCAGCAGTGATAGATTCCCTTTGAAGCCAACAAGGGAAAATACAATAGACAATATCTTCTTAAGCAGATGGAAGATGATTGCTTAGAGTTGGAACCCCTCCAAGACACCAACAACTCCTTTTGAGCTGGAACCCCATACCCGAAAGAAATCTTAATGGGAAGCGTGTATGCTCGAAGGTATATTGGAGGGTTCTTGGAACCTTCTGAAAAGTGTTGGTGGACATGAATCCCAACCGCATTCTGACGCCCACCAATCAAAATTCACACCCATGTGGGTTGATTTTGATTCCGTTCTCTTCACCCATCCTTCTCTTCAGAACCTGCACATGTTCCCAGGGGCGTGGCCCTGTTTATTCAAGAAGGATCCTTGAAGAGAATTGGGAACGGACAGCCAAACGAGCCCCGGGTTTGCTTCGTGGGACATGTGGGTTGTCACAACCCCCTCGTCCTCCCATGGATCCTTGGCCTCCAGGGAAACAGAGGACACCCACCCATTTTCGGCGTCCCCCTGTTTTGACATATGCCCATATCCATGTGTTTGCTGTCGTGGCTGATGAATTAAAATGCTGTTGCTCCCATCGATCAGACTATCAAACAAAATGCTGTGCAGCCATGCCAAAGCAGGTACGCGTCAGAACTTGAGCGGCTGCAAGTGAAAGGCAAGACAAAGGCGACGATGTCTGTTTCTTAAAAGCAAGTTCTTTGCTGATGATAATCATGAACATTAATGTCCAAGAATATCCGTGACTTCAAGTCCTTCCTTCACTTCTGTCACCCCTGCCGGCACCAACTGATGATAAGACTTGTTTTCCAAACCCACATTCCCGCGAGCACAGCCCAGCGGCTGAAGACATCTGGCGACACAGTCCAGTGCTCCATGGCGGTCAAAAGCTCAAGGGCCACAGTCCATTGCGCCGCAGACTCGCAGCAGCTGATGAGGCTGCTGCAGCTAATGACGTCCGGCGCAAGCCTTGCGTCTTTCATCTCCTGGCGGCTGGGAGGGCGGTTAATGCATGGAGTGAGGGGATCCTGGTGCACTCAAGACATAGTTCCGTTCCCTCGCGATTTCCGTGAAAAGCTCAGAGCCTCAACTCAAAAGCCCTGGACTGCGTGGTCATTGTTTTTCACAATCCAGAATGTCCAGCAATGCATCCAGAGTAAGAGAGCCAACTGCTATGTGTGGCCCACAAGTGGGGAAGCTCCGAATGGAAGGTTCTGGTTGGCTTCGTTTGAAACAACTAAAAAGAGGGTACATCACACGCACCCCCCCTTAAAAGACTAAAATAGACCGTTTTGGAGGTGTGCTTGGGGGGGCGCTGTGTTTGGGTGGTCCTAGGAAAAGTTAGCCTTACCAAAGAAGTATTCATCTTGCCCATATGTGGCAAGGGAAGCCGACACTTCATCGCATGCGCAGTCCCCCTTGGTCCGTATGGTAAAATCAACTTGCCAACAAGATATTCACCCAGGAATGACACCACGGCCGAGGGCCCCATTTCAAACGGGTCCTTCACTGTTGGGGAACCCGATTTGGGTGATTTGCCCGAGCTTTGTCCAAGCTTTGGCTCTCATACACACCGGAAAAAACACCTGCTTTCAACAAGCCGGATTGTGCGATGTTTCGATTGGCCCCAGCTGGTATCCTCTAAGGCACCCTGCGCGAAGCACACAACACCCTTCCAATCGCCTACGTCGGTTCGCAGCCGACTGGAACAGGGCTCCAAGACTCAAGACACTTTCTGACTCGTATGACTGGGCTATTCAAAATGGAGGGTTGGTCAATCCTAATGCTTACTCCCTAAGAGACTACTACAAAGGGGTCGGTTCCTTGCGCAAAAGGGCAGGATCCTGGGAATTGCCTTGGAACAGCCCTCTATGGCCCCAGGCGCCGGGTCAAAAGGATGGGCGGTGCCCAAGACCCCTCTTGTCCACCTCCGTGAAGTTTGGACAAAGGGCTCATCACCCGAATGCCAGGGACCAGTGCTTATTTTGGCTTGGGTGTCTTTTTTGAGGGTACCCCTCTTTGGTTGGCTTCGAAGAAAAGCCAAAAGGAGAGAACGCCTTTGCTTTTTGTTTTTGTCTTTTTTTTGGGGGGAGGTCCGGATTCCTTTTATAAGAAGAAACAAACACACACACACACACACACACACACACACACCCGTCTGTTTCTGGAGGGGTACAGTACCCCTTTGGGACCGTCCGGCCTGAAAGATGCTCAAGGCAGTTGCCCAGTTGCCCCGACGCTCACAGACCGCTATGACGCTGTTGAAGCTGATCACCTCCAGTTTTTTGAGCTTGACATGGCCATGGGTCAAAATCCAAATCCCGTCCGCCCATGCACATCCGATTCAATCCCCACTAAAATAGGTTCTAAAATGGGTGGTGAATTCACCTACCCCAAGAAGGTACCATTGGTTTTGACCCACAGCCACATCTCTCTAGATCAGGGTTGTGGGGTTATAGAAGGGGTTTATCCGATACCACTTCTGTGATACAAGGGAATCTCTCTTGGGAAACCCCCCCTTAAAAGGGGGGGGGGGGGATTTTGTGGCATCACAAAAGTGGTCATTTCCCACAGCCCTGCTCTGGATTGACACCAGTTTGAATGCATGACACTGATGAAACCCCGTACATACTGGAAGAAACCACCTACTGACTAGTGCAGGATGCGGCCCATCCACAGTATGGGTTTGTGAATCTTGGGAGGGTACTATTCTTACCTTGGTGTTCAAGGGAAACCAAGAGAAACAACAAAAATGGGATTGCCCTAGTTTGACTATGCAGAATCTGGGAAACATCCCTTTTGACCTTTTGCTCTCATTTTATTCGGGGGCAACCATCGTCTGCGACTCTGCTTGGCAAATTGCGACCCCTTCTTAACCGGTGGATGTCTAATCCAAAAGGACTCTCCGACTTGCCACTTGTCAGCTTCCCGGTCTGGGTTGGTGGTTTGGAGCTTGGGCGGCGGTTTCTCATCTACCTTCTGTAAGAACCAGAAATTAGAATCCCCAAACCAATCCAAACCCAGGGGTTGAACTTGGAAAGCTCAAGTGAGTCATGATCAAAACCTGCTACAATGGTGAACCCCGAATCTTGTAAGGAATTAATAAAGCGGCCGCAACGATTTCCTGACTAATTAAAACTTCCCCTTACTAACCTTCACCTACCCGGATTTTGATTGTCACTCCAGTTTCCTTTGCCAGGACCAAAGCACCGCGAAGCTTCCCTTTCTCCGCCCAAAGGTCCCCTGCCTCAGGCGTCAGACGCCACGCAGGCATGGTGCACAGCAACTGCTGAGCCACTTCCAAGTTGCCCGCCGCAGCGCAGGATCTGATCGCGCTGTTGCAACCTCAGGAACCAACAAAAAATGGGTGTGGCTCAAAATTAAAGAGCTAGGGTTACGCAGGTGTTTGTCCTTGGTTCCAGTTACCAGGGTGCACTTTTTTGGTACATTTATTTGAGCCACAGCCACGGGTGACCAAGCCGAACAGCTTGTTTAAGCCTCAGGAACCTCTAATGATCAAAGCAAAAATATAGCTTTGCTTCTAATAATCCACGAAATAAGCAATAAGTTGGGATTATTTTGAAAGCAACCATTCATCATAGGTGAGCTTGTAAATCCCCTTTGCGAAATGGCGAAGTGTAATTTGCTTGGGGGGAAAAACAAAACAACAAACAGCTGTGGGAAAGCGGACGGACCCCCCCCCCCCCCTCCGCGTTCGCGGAGTGTGTGTGGCAAAACTGTGGTTCATGATGGTCAATGCTGCCAGGAAGCAAGCCCGAAACTGACCATTTGGAGGAGTTCCGAGTGACGACACATTCCCACATGACGCACATCGGTTTCCTTTTTTTTGGTGACCTGTTGCTTGGAACCAATAGGAAACTGGAATGCAAAGAAAACGGAAACTGAGTCCCTCCTCTTTCTTCGCGGACCGTCTAGACACACCCCACAAGGAACAGCGCGATTGAAGATAACTACCATGCAAGGCGCTCGAGTAGTTGGAGGGCCTGCTTTAGTTCAGAGTAGATTTCAAGGCTTTCGGGAAACGACAAAGGCTTAACGCAACGAGTGATCTATCCATCGAAAAAGGTCGAAAGACCATAAAAACTCAATCAGCCCATTCGGAATGCCCGTTTTGATCATGAAAGGGCC